TCAACCACAACAGTTACATACCTTCGATCCCCTGGTTACTGGTAATAGGAAATAACAAAACAAATATTACGGCAAAACTGACAATCTATCGGTCAGCATCTTCAAAATAAGCTCGCGCGCAAGTTCGATATTCAAGGGAGGCATAGGACATAGGCCATTGGGCGCATGATTTCGAAGACGCATGGCCCACAGCTAAATGTCTTACTAAAATAAATAGGGACTGATAAATGGAGGACGTTTCGCTAATCGCTTCAGGCAAGCATGCCAATTAATCGAATGTCCTTCCCAATGTCCTTTGTAAGACCTGACGCCTCGAGAGAAAGTTCACACACTTTGTTTATTGCCTGAAAACGCGCATAGAGTACAGGTGCCAACTGCCAGAAGAGAAAGTGTCGTAAAATTCCCAGCCGAGATCGTAAACAAGATCTACCAGGGAGAGTCCGAACATTTAAAGCGGTAGCCAAGGCTATGCGGTAGCATGTGATGTGTAGTGTAGGATTGTAAGATTTCCTTGCACATGCAGATACGATTTGACAGACTGACCAATGCTTCACTTTCAACACACAGCATGTACTCATTCAAAACGAAAATCAACCACATTCGAAGAAACCGTACTGGCGGAGCTCTCTGGTTAACATTTCTACCAGCTTCTGCAAGTCTTCAATGATGCGAAGCCCATGCTCCACCGCTCCACCGCTCGCTCCCCAGCACAAAATGTTCCCGTGACCTTGACCTGAAGAGGCATGAATGCGCCCTGGGCGGACAAGTGAAAGACCGCTATTTGAAAGGTTCGCAGAGTTGGGTCCGGGATAGATTCATTTCCCAATAAATCAGCCATATGTGTTCCGTTCCCCTTGTGACTTGGAACAAGTACCTACTCTGGCTTGGAACAGCGTTGGCATGAGAGTTCCGGTTAGCACCTGGTCCCAAAATACACATCTTTATCCAAAACTCAGTTGGACTTTTGGAATCAAAATATGGAGGCATCAATAATTTGATTCTGGTGGGAGGAGCCATGACCAAATATGGGCATGGAATCAATTTTTTGATTCATTTGGGTACACTTTTGGCTTCAAATGTATCGTTACGGTTGAAAAAAGGCCCATGACGGTGAGATTTTTCTTTAAAAAGGTAGAAAAATGTGGTAGCTTTCCAAAAAGTGCTACCTCAAAACTAAGAAATTGTCCCTTTGGCCTTGTGAATGGGAAAAAGACAGAGCCACTGTCCATCACGTAAAAGCTGTTTTGAGGAAATCACACTGTATGTTATTTTTGTATCATGAATCGCATACTAAACAATCAGTATTTGTGTAAAATGGCAAAATGAAATTTTCAAACCCCTTATTGTCATTGTTGTAGTGCTTTTATATTTATTATATGGTTTTTACCTGTTGCTTCAGTTTTTGTATTCTTGACATTTAAAAATTGTGAATTGTTACCAAATGTAGTGAAGGTTATCTACAACATTGCTATAGGTATCTGTTGTGGTGCTGAGGATACCACTAAATGAGAATAGTAGCAAGATAAATGATGTATTCCTGCAAGTCATTGTTGCCTATCTCTTTACATTACCTGTGAATCAAAATAATGATTAGCCAGCTGATGGGGAATCAATATTATGATTATCTGTTTAAAGTGAATCAATTCCTTGATTGCCTTTCACTACCTATAGAATTCAAATTGTTATGATAGGAGCAATATTATTTTGCTTAGGAGATAGTTCCAGCATTTCTGTTCAAGATCAGGCATGCTCCTTCTTGAAACACTCTCTTATTTTTATGTGATTGGTAAGTTAGAAATGGTCTGCATTTATGCCCAAATATGGTCATAAGGAATCAATCTTTTGATGCCTCCATATTTTGATTCCAAAGGTCTAGTTTGCCCAACTGAACTAGCGCCGATAGTCCGAGCGAATATCGACCGTAAGGGCTATTCGCTCGCCTACGCACATTGGAAAGTCAACCTTAGCAGCTGTGTCGATATGACCTTCGCCGCCCACTCGTGGGGAAAATTGACAGCGAAGGAAACAAAAGCCATTTGGCGCTATAAAAATGAGAAGCAGAGCAAGATACGTCTTTCTAAGCGTGAGAGGCAGGTAGCACAATCGACAAAAACCTCCACATCCACGGTTTATTCCCCAAGTCGCGTTTCTCCTTGCCTTTTCAGTTTGTTTGGCTTGCCTTGGCAGCGGGCGAAGGCGAAGGCCAGGGTGCGAATTGGCATGCACCCAGCCGTAGTTCACCACGCCCAAGCAGCTACATATGAATCCTGCTGGATGATAAACAAAATACGGACTTACCTATTGTGAATCCAAATCCTTTGGGCTCCAGCTCGCAAGAACACGGATGTACACAAAATTCACGCACACCGGACACCGCGCACCGCGCCCCGTTTCCTTCTGCTGGCCGCCGTCGCGCGGGTTCACACCGGCCGGCGAATGACTTGGCGAGCTCTTAATTTGGCGACTAGAACAACAATGTATTTGAGGCAAATATTGGGCTAAACTTTCACCTTAGCATCTCAACATAGCAATTTCATGTCGCTGCAGTGTTCAGTGGAAAGTTTGTTCAATTTGACTGCCTTATAAATCAAAGCGTCCCTATGACGAGCTGGGGCGGCGAGGGTTTTAAACCCCGCCAATATTGCGGGTGGCGCGAATAGCGGTGGGCGCGCCAAGTGAGCTCCGGGCGACCACGAATGGCTTGTCACGATCTGAGGTCACGATCTATCCTTGGCCGGTGGCCCATCTTTCCATCACTTCACGGACCGATTGTACCTCTACGGAAGGCATGAGCATTGTTATGGATGCTGATTAAATCAAGAAAGCCCGGTCTTTTTGGGGAGGGGGTGGGGCTGGACCTTCCGGTCTAAATGACCGGTCGCAATATTGCGACAGGTTCCAGGTTGTTAGATGATATAATATTGAGCCGCATAAAACATGGGCTAATTCGATCGTCTTGCTAATTCGAACGGTCTCCGCCTCAAAGGCGGAGACCGTTCCGTAAGGACGGAAGTGCCACCGGGGCCGGCCGGGGGACAGGCCACCCAGTCACTGATCGGTCACCCCGAGAGGACGGTTCCGGTGGAGCTGCCCCTCCCATCACCCCCCCCCCCCCCCGTAATCTGGCTGGGTGAGCGTTCAATATAAGATCGATTCATATATTTGAAAGTCAATTATGACAGTGGATGGATATTCCGATATCTTGTCAACTTGTGTGTGCTTAGACGTGTAACAAGTTTTTTTTTAATTTATTTAACCCACAACACAAATCACAAACACATCGGACACAGCTGACGTCAAGTCATCAACTTCTCCACATCCACCACACCCGTCGTGTCGCCACAGGATGCGCCTCACCCTCTCAACCCCACACACAAAGAACGGCCAATCTCGCACGAGCCAACGCAGCTAAAGATTGTAAAAAAAAAAAAAAACACACAAAAAGGCACAACATCGCCATCGCAGCCGCAGCAGCGGACGGACCAAGCACCGGCAGCAGCAGCAGCAGCAGCAGCAGCAGCAGCAGCAGCAGCAGCAGCAGCAGCAGCGGCGGCAGCAGCAGCAGCAGCAGCAGCGGCGGCAGCAGCAGCAGAGGCAGCAGCCGCGGTAGCAGCGGAGGGCGAAGAAAAAGAGGGACAAGGTGGGACGAGGATGAGGGGCTAATGTTCGGCCCGTTTGAACGGTGTGTGTGTGTGTGTGTGTTTTGCGTATATGTATCTGTGTCCCTTATATGTATATGTGTGTCTGTACCGAGCATGAATGTAAGGAGTCGTTAATTTATATCGAGATAAGGTGACCACTATCAAGTGTTGGTAGTATTCTGAGCCTTTCCCACTTTTCTCCAAATTCAGTCAACTTATTACGTCTTCCCGCAAGAAGACGTTCTTTCTCGAACTTTAATTTCAATTAATTAAAAAAGTGTTGCACTGAGGGTTTTGTATCTTGCTTTTTTGCCGAGTAAATGGCCACTTTCGCTAAAACATAAACAATAACTTCAGTGCTTTCGCAGTCATTGAGATTTGGAAAGAACCATTGCTTCTTGTTGAATTTATAATCAATTCCAAAACGTGTTCTAAGAACATTGCAAATTTCACTTATATACTCCTTAACTAAAGCGCAATCCCAGAATAGATGATATAATGTTTCCGGTTCGCGACAGCAGAATGAACATTTATCGTTCTCATATTTACCTATTTTGTACAGAAAACTATTTGATGCTATAATCCTATGAACTAACCGAAAATGAAAAATTTGTAAGTAGGTATTCCTAGTAGCACTGCGGACATCTGCTACAGTGCCTTTTTGAAAGTGATCTATATCTCTCAACCATTTTCCTTCAGCATTGCTTTGTGTTTTGTGATGCGTTTTTCCTAGGTGCTGAACATATTCCAAATACGCTATACGGGATAATTTATTTTTTTGCGAGGATTATTTTTAATGGGTAAGGTATAATTGGGTATGTTAGTTGAAATTTGTAGTTAGTTGTTAATCGTGTAATCGTTATCGTGTTATCGTGTTATCGTGTTAATCGTGTTAATTGTTAATTGAAACGTGTAACAAGTTAATCGAGGTAATGAAATTGGACGCTTTTCATCGAAACTTTCCCGTTTAACATCTATTTCTATTCATATTTCGACCTCACCGCGCCTCTTCGACCGCCGCCATGAGTCAGGTGGAAATGCCGGAGGCCCGTTTTGTCAGGGGACGACCCGATATGGCGATTATCCGCGGGCAGCAGTTACCTATAACGATCGAAAGTTTGGCAACCGGCTAGGACCGAACCCGTGTCCTTTCGGTAACAGTGTACGAGTACTTCTCGTGATAAGATCTACAATCAATCTCCAAAACTAGTGCGGTGACGAATGGTCCTGGCCCTCGGTTCTAGGTATTCAAAGAAACAAAACCTGATGTGCTGTCGCCCGTTTCTTCGACAATGCAGGTCGTCAATAAGTTCCCTCCGTGGTTCCGGCTTCTCCTGATTTGTAAAGAAATAAGTTATCTCAGCACGTCCGTCCGATTTATTAAAACAACATTATGCTTCGCGCAATGCGTTTATATGCTAAAACATTTCGCATGCATTTTTCTCTCTCAAATCTCAGAGCATACAGCAGTCACTGTCGCGTTTCGTTGGAAGCCCTCATAAAAATGCAAACAAAACAAATCAAAATACATCTGTTGCGTCATATCTTTACCATCATAGCCTTTACCATTGAGAGTAGATAAAGTGTTCGTCTTTTTTCATATTCGCCAATTCCAAGTGAATTAGGTGAGTGATTCGTTAGGTCCAATTCGTCCAAATTCGTTAGGTGTATTTAAATATCTCCTTAAAAGGACCAGAAGAAATAAGTACAAACGTCCCACAGCCTAACAAGGTGTTTCGTCACATTTCATATAACAGGCTACGATTGAAAAAAAAAACAAGTCAAGTTCGCATAAAAGAATACATTTCAATAGTTTGAGCACATTCAAAAACTTGACGCCATTATGCCATAAAAACCCCGCGCCAAATCTCTCAGAGACTCATGACTCAATGACCTGCACGGTCGTGCGACCTGACCCAGGTCACACCACGACCTCTACGTCGGTGAGGAAGGCGGCCGTGCGGTGGACAAACTCCAGATAGGCGCTGACTCGGGTGTAGACTCCCGGGTGTCCGGCCGCACCGCACTCCCAGCCGAACGACACGATACCGGCGGCGAACCACCGACCTGAGGGGGGAGGGGGGAGCAGAGGGTCAGGGCGGGGCGGGGCAGGTGGGGGGGGGGGCAGGTCAGGTCGGGACAGGGCAGGGGAAGGCGAGGGAGCCAGAGACCTGTCAGACGGGACAGAGGGTCAGGTCAGGCCAGGGTAGGTCGGGGCAGGATAGGTCAGGTCAGGGTAGGGGCAGGACAGGGATAGGGCAGGACAAGAGGTGATTGGTCCACGGTTCAGGAGCGGAGCGTTGATTGGTAGTCACTGTGAGGGATGGTATATCTCTTATCAGTTCAGCGCCCTCATGATTGTTCCAAGAGTTTTTCCTCTCATTCTCATTCTCTTTCTCTCACCCTCCCTTTCTCTATCCCTCTGCCTGGTCGCTCTCCTCTCCCTCTTTCCCACCCTGCATACCCACCCCTCCTCTCTCCTCTCTCTCTCTCCCGCTCTCTCCCTTTTTCTCTCTCTCACTCTCTCTCTCCCTCTCTCTCCAGTCTCCCCTCTCTCCCTCTCTCTCTTTCTCTCTCCCCTCTCTCTTACCGAAGCTATCCCGGCAGCTGAGCGGTCCACCGCTGTCTCCTGAGCAGGTGTCCACTCCTCCTCCCTCTTTCCCGGCGCAGATCATCAGACGCTCGTCAAATCTGACAACGATAGTGACCATTCGTCAATTAGCATAGCCATAGCCGCAGTTGAAGAAGAGTCATCGTTTACGCTTCTCACGTCAAATGATTGAGTTGTATTTTTTCGTTCAGGCTACACGGAGTTCCAAAAAAGTTATTCGACAGACCCAGGCCCAACTAGAGCTCTATCGTAACGTAGCTTACAGCTATAACGTAACGTAGCTATAAGGTGGCATAACTACAACGTTGCGTAACAGTTGTAACGTAACTATAACGTAACATAACGCAACTATAAGCTAATGAAACTACAATAACTATAACAAACGTAGCTGACCAATGACCATAGTACCTAACTATAACGCCACGTAACCACACTAGTGATTACATAACATAACGTAATCATCGTAGCTATATAACGTAGCGTAACAATGAGGTAACTAAGACCTGGCCCACCTGTTTCCATAGGCCCTGCGGCAGATGGCAGGGTCCAGAATCTCGATCAAAGCGCCTCTGAGGAAGCGAGACGCGTAGTCGGCAGACTTGGGATGGTTGGCGTCCACAAGACCTGCCGGCAAACGGAACGACAAGGGATGTAGGCTACAGCGTCGTTCAAAAGTAGAACAGTCGGCTGAGCATGGCGCGGTGGGCTTGGAACATTCAACGCATGATTTCGGCTTTTTGAGGCCTGCCCTGCAAGCTGGTTAAGTGTTGACAGTTGACAGATAACAAGCAGATGACAAGTTATAAAATAAGATACATCGATAAGCATTAATACATATTTTTCAACAAACGTAACTGACAGGCGAAGTGGTAACGACAGCAATCCAATGAATGGGTGGACGAAACAAATGATGAAATATCCTTTTTAACCGAACACCGGCTGATTTACTTTATCGATTCGTAAACAACAAAGGTAACAAACCATATTCAATACACCATGGGTACTGGGTAACAAAGGTCCAAACAACAAACAGCACAACAAACAACACAACAAAGCACACAAAACAAAGCAAACAAAGCAATACGTTTAGTACATCAATCCGAGCAGCTCACCCCAGCCGGAGATCTGGCACTGCTGTCCTATCACCAGCGTGGTGTTCTGGGCGGGCAGGCAGAGAGGTTGAATGTAGTCACTAAACCTCAGACCGTGGGGCTCCCCGCGGCGGAACTTGAGACGCATCATGGCGATGTCGTTCCGCTGCCCCTGCTGGAGGTCTGCCGGGAGGAGGGGAATGTGGTGTTAGATAGGGGGGGGGAAGTGGTACACGAGGTAATCCTGCAAAGGACACCATCACTTAGCAAAGCTTGCAGAATAGAATGTATGGTAGAAAGCAAGGTACAAGGCTGGTACGACCGTACGAGGCTACAGCCATTCCGTGACATTTATTCAAGTTTCTTTTTCATTGAAAATTTTTAGTCACGAGTGCGAATGTAAAGTCTAGTTAATAAATATTCATACTATTGAAACCAATACATGAATACAGCCTATGAAACTCCGACATCGATCCTCTTTACTGGGTGATATGCTCAGTACCTGCGCAATGCCATGGACTCTCTGAGGAGGCTACTAATCTCTAAACGACGCGGAACTATTTTTAGAGCGATAAATCGCTCTCGCATCGGTTGGGATTCGAACACACGTCCACCGCTCCCCGTCACTGACCTGGGCGGTGACCGGGGTTCCGGTACACGCTCTCCACCGCCAGTACACGCTCATCGGGATCGTCCGGGTTCTGCAGGTCATTCTGAGCCACTCGTACCTGCCGACAAGTTATGATTTTTGTGGTGATCTTTTGGTTGTTGTTAAACAAAATGTACTGGAAAATGTACAGGCAACGGCGGGCTACTATAAGAAAACAAACATGAGTGATACTCGATAGACGCAACATTTACGGCATAATTGCCCGTGGGTTCTTTTTCGTAGGAAAAAATGGCCTGTAGTGCCGAAATTAAAAATGCCTGTATTAATAAATGCCTGTATTAAAATCCTTTCTATTTTACGATGCTAGAATTATTAATAACGCTTATTCAGAATTCAAGTTAACTAAAGAGGCGAGAGCAATTAGCAATATAAGCGGATGAAAAGGGTCAGACAAGGATCATCTGCAAGACCCATCAAGTGCGTGCCATACATCCGACATGGTATTTATTTCACCAAACACTCCCCAAGCCAAGCCTTAGGACTTGAACAACCCTGAGCTCGTCCCAACAGCCCGTGGCCCAAGTCTCCCCCTATCCGCATTCCGCAATACCTGGTAGTTGTTCTCGTGCTTTGTGTGGCAGTGCGCCGCCGTGAGAATCAGGTCGTCCGAGATCACTATACCGCCACAGCTGTGCTCGTAGCCGGAACCGCGCTCGTTGGATATCTCTATCTGCGCCTGAGAGAAGAAGGAAAACAATGTACGATGGCTGAAATATTCCATTTTAACATCGGTTATCAGGATTCGGAAAGCATATCAAACAAGTATTGTAAACACCAACTGAGACCATCTTATTTGAATATTTGACAAAGTAATAAGGTAGATATGCTATGTGAGCTTCATTCAAGGTAGTTTCATTATCGATGGAAATTGGCCGTTGGGTAAGATCCCTTACACAAAACGCAGTTCAATCGCCGCTCCACATATCTGCCACGGATAGACTTACCTGCCAGGGATAGGTGCCAGTAGCGACCGGAGTGCCCCCTACAACTCTAGTTCTCTCCCGGTTTCCAGAGGGCTCTAGTAGTCGCTCAAAGTCGCTAAGACCGAACGTGGGCCTCACACCACATTGTGTCGGAAAGTTGAAATGGTATGACAGGTCGGGTACGGGGGTGGGCGCGTCGGGAGGCGCGGGGGTGGTGACCTCCACAGGGGGTTCGGGGTGGGAGGGGGGCTGGGTGACCGGGGTGGGGGTGGTGGGTGGAGGGGGAGGCAGGGGCTCTAGGTGATCGGTGAGGACATTTTCCGGCGCCAGCGGATCTGAAAACACAGAACGAACGAGCGGTGCCAGTGGAAGGCTGCAGTAGGCGAACAAATGGGTGTGTAGGGCGTAGGCGCTGAACAACTGCGAAAGCCAACTAGCGAAATCTCATAGCTCCCACTCCCAGCCTCCCAGGCAAGATCGTGGATAAAACCACTGAGATAAAAATGTGTGCACACTTCGTTTCGTCGACAACCTGTCCCTGAATAACGATCATTATTTACATCTACATTTATCAACCGTTCAGCCTAATCCACCACAAAGTCCCGCTTCAGCTCAGACAAAGTCGGGTAAACGAACCCTTCAAACCCCACTCGGCCTTGCCCTACTCTCTCCCTAAATCCACCTTCAATCTCCGTGAAATCCACCCTCAAATCCCCCTCAATCCCACCAGTATTCCGCCGAACTGCACCCCTATCAACTCACCGCTGATGAGCCGAATCTGTTCCGGGCGAACATCAATGTTATGAGAAGTGGCGCCCTGGAACAGGAAGGTGATGATGGTCGCTCCCAGGTTCTTCAGAGATATCTCGAAAAAGTCCGAATGAGGCTGGACAACAGGCACTGTGGGGAAGATGTGAAACAGGGAAGATATTACTTGGAAGATGTTATTCAGATCAAGCTCACAGTCAGGGTCGGGTTAGGTCAGTGCAAAGACATGGTTAGTCCAGTTAAGTCCAGGTCAAATAGGGGTCAGGTCAGCCGTCGCAACAGTGTTCAGGCAGTGTCTGTCTGGGTCAGGTAAAAGTCAGGTCAAAATCAGATCAAAGTCAAGTCAAGATCAGGTCAACTTTCAGGGACATCATCATCATCAATCATCATCATCATCATCATCATCATCATCATCATCATCATCATCATCATCATCATCATCATCATCATCATCATCATCATCATCATCATCATCATCAATCATCATCATCATCATCATCATCATCATAGTCATCACACACCTGCCACGTAGTCAGATTTAGCCTTGAGAAAGCGGCACTCATTTGTTGCATTATTGTGGCTCCAGGCTTTACACTGGGCATGAATGCAATGCACGGCGCAGTCCTGCAATGGAAACAATACAGGGGTGAATATAGTAGTTCAATCGAAAGCTTCACAAACTAAAGAATGAATAAGGCAAGCATGTATAGTAACAGTAGCGAATAAGCAGATCTAACTTTAAATCGTCCCGTCTTACGATCGCTATAGCAACGTCAATCATATTACCGAATCATTTTACAGTAAACGGCAGCTCTGTCTTTCTCCGCCACCTCCAGTAACTATACTCACCCTCATACTAATGTCAGTGACCAGCCTGGTGGCCACGTTGAGCGCCTTTCCAGAAATATGCCGGAACGATGTGATCACGTGACTGCCAACGAGAAAACCAGCAGTCGAGTTAAATGGCGTAAAAGAAACACACGTGACCTCATGGATATTTTGCACATATGCCTGCTTGGAACAGCACAGTGAGGCGTGAGCTTCTATTCAAAACTTATCAAAAAATGCCGATAAAAACGAAGATTCGTAACTATAAATTGTGAACGAGACACGACAAAATAAAGCAGTTACAATATGAAATATCGTTCCATTTACGCAAGTGCATTACTCATTAGGCATCGTGATAAATTTCATCAGAAATAAATTATCGGGAATATACATGAACAGCGTAAATGTGAGGTGCAAACGGATTACAAATTAAAGGGACCCTCCCACCTTAACATTAGATTTGAGTTGAGATAGCCAAAATGGGGTCCCTGGCTCACAATTACCGGTTTCGGCACTCACAACATCGAGAAATGCCCTAAATCGGAAATATTGAATTTCAAAATTGCAGCATTTTGATTCAGAGGGGCTAATGCATAGGAATACCCCTCTGAATGTGTGACGTCATCGCAGATATCTAACGATTTTTAAATGTTTGACTAAAACGTTTTGTAGCACGCGGTGGTATATGCTGCTTTGCGCGCAACAAATGCCGCACTTTCAAATAAAGTCGCTAGGAACAGGGGAGATCCCAAAAAGTAAACAAAAGTAAAAGTCTAATATCTTGAAAACCGGTGAATATTTTTCGATGAAATTTGGTAGATATTCGTTTTTGCTCTTTCTGAACCGAGCGACATCACTTTCATGCCAATTCATTAACTTTTTTGAAGGTGGGAGGGTCCCTTTAACACGCCGAGCCAGTGTTCCATTTTTCAGACTTTTTGGTGGCAAGTCACACCTAATGGGGAAAATACTTTCATCCCTAAAATATGAATGACCGACCTTACTTCATCTCTGAAAAATGTTTCGTGTATTCCCAACAGCCAGTTTACATATCACTTGAGTTGATGCACCCTCATCCTTTTGTTTCACACCATGTCAAGATCCTAACATGAAATCCTGGTTTATCAGTTGGCATAAAAATTGGCATCACACCATTTTGCAATACTCCAGTTATTTACTTCCCTTTTTCTCATCCAAGGATTTTTGTTTCTTCATCGGCACACCCAACCAAAATCCAATTTTAGAACACTGCGCGCGCCGAACGCAATAGAAAATTCATGTGTAATAATTTACTTGATCAAGTATCTTTAGTGAATTATTATCCTAGCATATTTACTTTTTATCTTACATACAGCACGCTTTCAACATTAAGCTCACCCATCGCCATCCTTGATGCCTCGCTTAGTTCGTAACAGCAGCTGACCTTCCCTCGTGTTGATCCCGGTCGTAAACCTGGCCCATCGCTCTTCGGGAGACCGCACAGTTCTCTGAGGAAAAAGGCAGTTCGTGAAGGTGCGAAGGTCTTCTGATGGGAATAATGATGCAAAAAAGTGGTTGACTCACGTGGGGAGTGGCAATATTGAAGGATGGTTAGACTTTACGTGACAGGATACGTTTAAGCCAAAATAAATGCCCATTTATTTTGAACGTAAGATTTATTCACGTTTTACTTGGTACCTGCACAAGTACTTTAACGGGTCGCTGTATCTAAAAAAAACTACAAACAAGTCACAAACAAAACAAATTTAGAGAGGAATCTTGAACGAAAAGTGACCAGAACATTCATTTATTCTTAGATTACTCGAGTTATTTACCGAAGCCTTGCGAACATAAAGGAGGTCACCAAATATAAATATAGTTAGGTCCGATTAACCCTCAGTCCGACCGTTACGTTACCGCGACTGTGCCGTCACTATACAGCATAAAGTAGACGCCATGAAATACAACCCCTTACCACGACCCCAGACACATTCATAACGGTTTCGGCGACGGTCAAAGACTTGCTTACCAACCTGATATGCATGCGAGGTCAGATCTTGTCGCTGCTGCTTAGCGTATGCCGGTGCATCTATAATTAGAAACAAGTGGTAAAAACAGACACAGTTGTTCCGGGGTACGTCTCATGCTCTGTGTCTGTTGTATGTGTGACTGTGTTATGTGCGTATGTGGGGGGAGGGGGAGGGGATCGAGGGATTTCCCACACCAGTACCTAACTTGAGCTTCTGTTTGGATCGTGGAGCAGAGAGCTGTCGAATGATTTGCTCGCATGTCTAGTCCATAACACGTATATCCCGTGACTATGGGTATTTATGAGTCATTGTTTATTTCGATATCAGACGAGTTACAATGAGTGACTCAGCGAAGATTATGAGCACTGTGAAGGTATCGATGCGGGTCAGGAATTATCGGTGTAAGCCGCTAGTCTTTGATGTGCGATTAAATCGGCATATTGAGTACAATGTGAATTGCGTATCGTGTATTTTGTATAAGGTCATGCATGGCTATTGTTTGTTATGCGCATGTGGCGCTTGGCTTGCACATATACTTTCATACTATGTACCCTACGTAGGTGAGTACAATTATGTCGTCTTGAAACGGTCATCATTCGCATAAAATACCTTGCAGGCATTACTTATCCATCCATAATCTCGGGAAGTCAGCAGTCAGTAAATCACGGCGTTTGCTTTCTATTTTCGTACACCGATTAATCCTTAACCCTCGCCGGCACAGGGGGGGGGGGGGGTTGATGCAACCCCCCTAAGGTTTTTCGCGAATAACTCGCGTAAAAAGCGGCCGATCGCGACGAAACTTTCAGTACCTTCGCATTGATCAATTTTACACCTACCCTGAAAATTTCATGACCCTGACCCCAATGTCCTTTGACCTGTGACCTCTTTTCTGTGACCATGTTTGGCCGAAATCGCGGTTCGGCGCATGTCGGCTCGCATTAGCCGCGCGTTTGCAAGCTTTTCGTGGTTTCAAACGTTCAAACATGTGATTTGATGTTGCTCCCATGCATTAGGGTGGGGGTCAAGGTCACCTGAGGGTCAGGTCAGGTCATTGACCTTTGGTGACCTTGGGTGACCTCGGTTCACTTTTTCGAGTTTTACATGTTTCTAGGCTAGTTTTTGGAGCTGAATTCGAATTTAGCAACCATTGAACATTTACGAAGAAGTTTTGGTGCCTTTGTAACATGTTACGAAGCTGTCCGAGGCGGTTAACACGTATTACGAATACCCGTCACAACCCCTACCGGTTGACCTGACCTGACCTGACCCGACCTGGTCTAAATGCTTAAAGACATCATCTCTGATCAAAACTAACACGATATTCGTGATCAACACCCCGGAAAACCACATAGCAGCCACACTTTACGACTTTCTAACAGGTCCCGATTTTCCCGGTTTTCGGGTCATTGACCTGACCTGGAAGGTCACCCGATGACCTAGGACCTTAAAATTGGGTATCATCGGCTTCGTCTCGTGACGGGCAACACGCTCGTTTTTTCCGCGAAGCTCTAGCTCGATCAGGGGCCAAACGCGAGGGGGGGGGTCGTACCAACCCCCCCCCCTTGTGCCGTCGAAGGACTCAAAATGGCCTGTGCCGGCGAGGGTTAAACCATTTTCAATTATTAGTTTCGATGTAAAACAAGTGATCCGCGGCTTTACAGTCGTAGACCGTAGTCCAAGTCGGCAATGTATACGTCACCGCACGCAGCGTCAGGCATTGACCTTAAACTTAAAATGTTTTAATGTGAAGCTATGGATGAGTGCATATTGCATGATCATGTGGGCTATACTGATTAGTGATTACTACGTTATGTGCAATGCATGCACTGAACACATCAACAAAGCCAACGTCAACACTCAACACACCATGCAACTGCGCCGTAATTCCACAACACGGAACTCACAAACAAACCGTCCCAGCAACCCAACAAAGCCCCTGACCTCCCCATACTCTCACCTTGTGACGCCCATACCAGCCAGGATGAGGTGAGCAGCAGCACCGTTCTCACCCACATCTCACACCTGTGGAGTTCTCACACGCGGCCGCACCTGCTCACGTCTGTTGTGAGACTAGACTGTCCACCCGCGGGCCGGCGCGGCGGGGCGGGTGACGGTAACGTAAACAGGACTCTAGGGGTGTTCCGAGCGCGTCACTACAGCCACCGCGCCGGTTTTCCATGCCGTACGGGCCGGACAGAGGCGCACTCAGGTCAGCGGGAATGGGGGGAGGGGGTGACGAGAGGGGGTGGTGGCAGGTGACAATAAGCTGCGTGGATATGACATGCTGTTAGTGCCAAATCACAGATCAACGATGCTCATTAAAAGTGCTTGTGTAAAAATAAATCAATTAGACGGTTTCTCATAAAAATCGTGTTCTCACCGCCCATGAATAAATACTTAAAATATTAATGAGATATTTTATCCTACAAATTAACTGACTCAATTTATGATGCTAGCCCTTTGTTGACATCCTGTAACCGCCCCTGTCCCTTGCAGCAAGACCAGCATGGCTGCAGAGCGGCATGCCATTGGGCGAGCTCCGGGATAACCTATTCGTCGAACGCCATGACTGAGAGTGAGTCTAAACGGCACCGAATGCTGGGGATTTACGCTGGAGAGTATCGTTACTGCGTAATATGTTAATCGCACTGAAATTTAGGGCTGCTCCCGTCTAAACTATGGTGTCTGTTGGCAGCTGGGATGTCCCAATGCACTGTAGAACTACGGCTGTATAGAGTGCAGCTGCACTAGCAGCGTAAATATTGATCAGAATTTCTAAACAATCTCTGCATAATAAGCGTGCTTTTCTGACTGCAGATTCTATAAGTGCCGTTTATCGTTCCTAATGATTCGTAACAAACATCTACCAAAGAAAAATGTTGTCAGTGTTACCGATGCTATATGTGATAGAAAATTCGGTAAATATAACAGATTATGAAATATACATATAAAGTACCCATCTTTCAATATGAGATGTAGAGGAAACAAAAACTACAGTGCACTAAAAAACCTGTCAGTTTGATAAAAGTCCGTAAGCAAACTTCCCGTGTTCCCAAGGAGCCTCTTCCAGTGAGTTCGTTTTTCTGCACACGCCTCGGGCATATTATTAAGCATCACATAATCGATTCTAAAAACAAATTATCACTGCAATAGCTGCCATTTATTTTTCACATTTACAGAAAGGTGACTCAGCTTCACACACGAACAATGTAATAGTCACAACAAATAGGCGTTGGCCTAAATGTCGTATCGCTTTTATCAGCCACAAAAAAAATAGCAAAGATATTTTCAGTCAGCACTTTATCGATGTATCGCCCTGTGAAAAAGTTTACGAGATGCTTGATAAAGATACTCGTTCGTATCTTTCTCAAGCCTTAACACGCGCAGTGGAAGGGTTGCGAGTACTACGCCCAGTGGAAGGGGGGCGGATGTCGCCCCCCCCCCCTAAGATCTCAGCTCCCGCTGGAGCTAGAAAGACGAAATTTGGAGGGTAGGTGGGGGCCATGGAGAACTCTGTTGTGTGTGAATTTCATGACCCTAGGTCAATATCTTCAAGGTCAAATGAGGTCAAATGTGGTCAAATCTGCCATATGAGCGACTTTTTTGCGTTTACACGCCGATAACTCAAAAAGTTACTGGCCGATTTTCTTTTTTCTTTCACTATACGAAAGAACAAACATTTGTGAGTATGTATGGTGAATTTCTAGATAATCCAACAATAAATGTGGCAGTTAGAAGCCTGCTAAGGGTAAGATGTCGCCGGCTGAAGCGGCATCGGCCGACGCGGGAAACGCGGCAATCACAATTTTGTGTTTACACACTCATAACTCAAATTGTTACCGGCCGATTTTCAAAATTCTTTGACCATATGATTGCCTGTACATTTCTCAGTCTTCTCACCGAATTTGACGCGAATCTAATATAATCACCGGTAAGGAGCGCGATGTAAAGACGGAGCCGTCCCGCCCCGGCACAGTAGGGTTGTTCAAAAAAACCGAATTTCGGAAAAGTATATGGGCTCATGGCTCATGTGGTGCGGTATTCTTTTCTGAGTCCAATGATACCCTTTTTTCCGAAAAGTATTACTGCTAGGCGCTGCTCAAACGGCTTAAAGAGGACCATGTTACGCCCGCCGACCGGCCGGTGTCAATAAGGGCGAGAATTCGACGCCGCACGGCGGCGGCAGCGCCTTATCGGCACCGCGCGCCACGACATCTGCCGGGCGGCCGGCTGGGCGGTGGGAAGTTATAAGTGCGTGGTCTTATTGCACACGATCGGGGTGAGCTATCCCATGTTTTCGGGGCGGAAAGTTTCAGTGCAGCATCGGTGCGTCTGCTACGGTGGTCTGTGTCGATGGTATAGAAAATAACTCAAGCAGAACTCAGAAAAGAATGAATGATTCCGGGTAGTTGCCTCGAAATAACCCGTTTCAAGAATACAGCTGCCCTCTTAACGTACTGTATCACTTGTTGATTCTTCAAAAAGCAAGCTCTGAGCAATAACAGACCTCTTTGCATTGCTGTTGACCATTTAAGTTGCTTTTGGACGGTGGCTCGCAGCCCCAATATGCTGCCGCGTAACTCTATTCCAACGACGAAACGGCAACTTAGCGAGAATCGAAAATTTAACGAAGTAGGTACAACAGGAGCTGGCAAGGCTCCTGCATTGGTCTATCCGTCATGAGTGACACACCGGGGTAATGTGTCACGTCAGGGCAGAGCTGTGTTCTATGCCGGGTCTGGATTCGGGTCTTGATCGGCATCGGTGGGCACGGCCGCCCTGGCCGGACTGCCGGCGTCGCTTATGCTCGAAGGATTGGATAAACGGCGCTTGATTTATATGAGTAGGTACTCCGGCTAATGTCTCTACTCATGTCTCACTTCGTCACACTGTCAGGGTGGCCACTCTGTCATCCCCAAACATGTTATGTTTTCTTTCGACCCGCTAATCTAAGTTACACCTGGCGTCGATTCTGTTGCCCCAGCATCTGACATCAACGTATCTGAATAATGACATTGGTGACGCATATGCTCGTCAAAGCCACCCCCAAACTTGGGCCGATGACTGTCGGGTCTCCTCCATATTCTGTCCTTGTGCATACTGCATTGCCAGCCCCTGCTGTACGTATATCGTGAATTTTCGATTCTCGCGAAGTTGCCGTTTCGCCGTTGGAATAAAGTTGCGCGGCAGCATATTGGGGGTGCGAGCCACCGTCAAAAACTAACGTAAATTGTCAACAGCAATGCAAAGAGGTGTGTAATTGCTCAGAGTTTGCTTTTTGAAGAATTAACAAGTGATACGGTACGTTAAGAAGGCAGCGTATTCTTGAAACGGATTATTTCGAGGCAACTACCCGGAATCATTCATTCTTTTCTGAGCTCTGCTTGAGTTATTTTCTATACCATCGACACAGACCACCGTGGCAGACGCACCGATGCTGCACTGAAACTTTCCGCCCCGAAAACATGGGATAGCTCACCCCGATCGTGTGCAATAAGACCACGCACTTATAACTTCCCACCGCCCGGCCGGCCGCCCGGCAGATGTCGTGGCGCGCGGTGCCGATAAGGCGCTGCCGCCGCCGTGCGGCGTCGAACTCTCGCCCTTATTGACACCGGCCGGTCGGCGGGCGTAACATGGTCCTCTTTAAGCCGTTTGAGGAGCCCCTAACAGTTAATACTTTTCAGTAAAAAGGGCATCATTGGTCTCAGAAAAGAATATCGCACCACATGAGCCATGAGCCCATATACTTTTCCAAAATTCGGTTTTTTTGAACAACCCTACGGCACAGTCTACAATTCAGGCGGCGCGTAACGGCTAACGCCGGCCGCCGCGCCGCCGCGCCGCCGCGGCGGCAGGATGTTTGACTTTACACCGCTATTACTAGAAAAGTTGTGAACCGATTTTCTTATTTCTTGCACGAGAAGATCCGCAATTCAATTCTGGACAGGTAGCCGAAATTTCACATTAATATTATGTTTGCGGCGCGAGTTATTGGCGAAAAACAGGAGGGGTGGGCGAAATCCGCCCCCCCCCCCTTCCACTGCGCGTGTTAAAACGGGTAAAATCGGCCAAACCACTCGATCCCACCGCCTAAAACAACTTAAATTACATCATAAAATCTCCCAACACACCATCACAAACAATTCATAATGCCCGTGCCTTCCTGGTTCAAAGAGACACTGAAGAGATGCCCTTAGTTTGCGGTACGGAAGTTACCTGAAGGATGTTATTTGCCGAACGAACGAAGAGTTAGCCAGGGCTGGGCAATCTGTGACAAAAGGAAAAATCGCCAGTTACAATTTTGACTAGAGAGATGCATGTAAATCCAAACATACAGCTAGAGAAATATGGCAGGAAGCATGGAACGTGAAACGCGGTAAACGTTTCAATCAATGGTTTAGTACTTCCGAAACCTGCTACTATTTCTAATTGACAAAAACGTCCACATAAAAAAAAACACAAAACAAAAGCTAGCATTTCGAAAGAAGAACTTTATACGATTTGTTACGTGCTGGGCGAGTGTGCAATATGTCTGTTTAATCTGACTTCATCTATCATTGGGTAAATCAAACTATATTGATTTGCGAATAAACCAAACCAAAATTCCTCCACCGGCACCCACCTGGAACGTATCCGTTTCCCCCTCGTAGTAGAAGGTGGACTGAGGCGGGGCGCCGGCGCGACCCAGCATCCTACCAAACAGGCCGGTGAAGAGGCTCCTCATGTAGTAGACGGCTCTTCTGAACATCCCCACCGCCGGCTTGTGGTAGCCCATGTGCTGAAGAAAATGGAGGCAAAAGTCAGGCCGGAGGGATAATTCGTCCCATGAAGGGTATAAACCGTGGGTAAGTAAAGTAGGAACACGATGCATCAGTTGAAAGAGATGTAGCCCGTTGAATTGAATTCAATTGAAAGAGATGTAGCGTGCCGTGAAACACCGCCGGCTGTTCCGTACCCTGATTTTGTAGGTGCCCGCCGCGGCGTCCACAGGAATGTTCCAGGTGATGGTGACCTCCGAGTGTCCCAGCAGCACGTCCGTGCGGCTCCACTTGAAGCTGAAACAGAACGGAGAAAACGATCGGACGTGAAATGGATGGCATGGTGTGCCAGAATAACAGACAAGCTCCGAAACGCTGAAATAACTTAACCCGGCCGGGCCCGGGGGGTAATCCCAACCACCGCAGCCCGGGGGGGGGGGCGTTTTTCGCCCCCCCCCCCTGTCTAACTCCGTAAATAAGGGAGCTACGGAAACAAAAGCGATACCAAACGAAAGGTCCTTACGAGACGATTCTAAAGCACCTAAAATTTTTGACCTCAGGTCAATTTTCAAGGTCAGAGGTCAAGGTCAAAGGCAAAAACCGGCACATGTGTAGTGATCTGAAAGTAAGCCTTCTAGAAGACGGCAGGCGGCATCAAACCGGAAAATTGGGTGTCAAACGAAAGAAGAGAATCTGAGGATTCTGAAAATGTGCTCAGAGTGAAAGGTCAAGGTCAAGGTCACGCTCAAAATTGACCTCAAACTTGGCATTTTTTCGCACATCTTGCGTGCTAACTTCCAAGATGTTTTGAAATGTTTTGAGGCTTATCAGTTCCCTATTTGTGGTTCATCTTACGATACAAGGCTGCTCAAAGGTCAAGGTCACTGAAGAGTATCCCTGCTAGAGGCTATTTCACTAATTCAAGTTAGTAGGTACCTAATAATAAATAAGACAATTTTGCCATCCGGAAGCTCTAAATGAAGGCTTAGAGGAAAATAAATGCCAGATTCGTGATCAGCGGGTACAAATCCATCATAAACGACCTTTCATGTGTCAAGGTCAACCAGAGGTCATTCGAGGTCACATAAGGTCAACATAAAACTTGACCTTTTCCGAACAAAATATATATCATTCGACGCGGCTTGACAAGGCGAATGCGATGGTACCACTGCCGTAGCTCTAGGACCATTTCATGGTGTGTCAAAAGTGGAAATAGCCGCCCGGCTTTAGTTCGCCAGCCTTGTCAATAGATGGCAGTACCACAATATGGGCAGCGGATCGTGCAATTGACGTCAAATTTTCGTTATCTGCTAAGAATTGAATGGCGGATCTTTTCATGCAAGAATCAAGTAAATCGGTCCACAACTTTTCTAGCAACAGAGATATGAAGTCAAACACCCTGCCAGAGCGGCGGCGCGGCGGCCGGCGGCGGCCGCTACGCGCCGCCTGGGAGACTGGCGGCGCTGAACGGTTCCGACTTGGCACTGCACTAAAACCTGTTAACTGCTTGGAATAGTTATTATAGCAAAATTTTCATTCAAGTGAGGAATAACCAAGGGCAGGAAGTATGTATGCTTGTGTGCGTACTGTGTAAGCCAAGAAACTGCATTAGCAGATACTCGCTAATATTAGATCCAGCCAAGTCCAAACGCATACCAGGGGCTGTGTTTCTGATGGGTCAACAATATTTATCGTTCGAGGGCGGATACAGTTTTAACAATACAAATAATATTTTTGCACAGCTCTATTCCTTGAATAATTCTCTTCAACGCCTCATTCCTAGTTAAGCGAATTAGCCCACCCTTGTTGAATAAATAAGGCGATTTCGCCACAAGGTCGCGGAAAACCGACCGAAAACGGCCGCGCTCAACGTTAATTTGGGCATGCAGACTCTTAAATACTCGCATTGGGCGGGTAGGGTTTCCCAGGTATTGGCTCCAAAACACCGTATTCGGCTCCGGAATACGTCCAAGTGACCCGCCTCGTTCCTAGTTAAGCTCTAATTAGATCAAGTGACTCATAAGGAGCGAAAAAGCGACAAAAAGCATGAATTTCCCTATGGCGGCGGGCTGCCGGGTTGCCAGACGGCGCACCGGCTATTTCCACTTTTGACACACCATGTTGTCGAAGTTATTTGCGAAAAACTAAAACCACATTTCGGGGTCGTTGACCTGACCTCTGACCTCAGGTCACCAAAACTATTTTTCTGTTTTTCTCTATGTCAAACGCTACACAACCGTGCTCGTAATTTGTCTTTATCTCTAAAACTCTATTTTTAGCAGCTATTTGAAGTTTGCGTCTGTGACGCCGAAGTTTGCCGTGCAGGGGTCTAGAAAAAATGGACCTTGTGACGTCATCAAGGGGGCTAGGTCCAAATTTTTTACTTTAGAATTCAAATTGATGGGAGAAAAGGTACTGAAAGTTTCGCTTTCCTATCCCTAAGCGTTCGGGAGCTATCGCAAATATTCGCCAGGGAGGGCGAAAAACGCCCCCCCCCCCCCCGGGCCCGCGAGGGTTAAGTAAAAATAAAACGTTACAAACGACCACTGTAATAGATGTGTTGCGCCTGAATTCTCGTCAAACAAAGTTGAAATAAATTTGTTGCAAAACACACAAAGCTTTGCAAGATACTCCAAAGCATAAACTCTATTAGACACGGTACTTTTCTTAAACGACAGTTGGGGTTCCTCTGCCATAACATTCGCCAAACTACGGATGAGTTAAGCTGTGCCCTAGGCCTCGGTATAGATGTCATTTGCTACACTGATAAGTCAACGTAACTAGCCAAGTCCCGTCCGTGTCTCACAATGTTTCCCAGGAGGCGTCTGTGGCCACCACGGCCCAACTGCCGTCCTCCTGAAGTTTGAGAACCTCCAGGAAGGACCTGTCAGTCATCGGATTATTGCGCGGATGGCCGGAGACCTGCGGAAAACGGTGAAAAATACGTAAGTAAACTTGCTAGTGTAAATTACCGTAGCAAACGGGAATGCTAGTCCTTATTTTCATCGAACTTAACCCTATTCCTGGCGGGGGGGGGGGCCTCAGGAGCCCCCCCTGAGGTTTTTTGGTTATATCTCCCAAACGCGTTGAGCTAGGAAGCTCAAATTTTCTGACTTTTCCTAAAAGGCTTCTACGCAACATGTCTGAAAATTTTGAGTTGATCTGACCTCAGGTCAGGTCACCAGAGGCGGTTTGGTGACGCTACCTCAGAAAAGTTTGCAATCACGCCAGAGCTAGAGTTTTTGACCGATCAATTTCTTCTCTTCAGGGTTTAGTTAGGGTACCAGTATGTGCAATTTGTATATCTCGGAATTTTGATATCGGTGACCTAAGGTCAGGTCAATTTCGCGACCTCCCCATTATAAGTCAATGGGGGAAAAATCAACTCCCTGTTTTTACCACTAAAACGGGTCGGAATGGCCCCATATACCATACATGACTTCATATACGATCAACCTTCACTACCTTGAGGTCTGTTTTGCTGTTGGGCAGCTGTGAGGTCATGTGACGTCATCAAAGGTCACCAAAGGTTTTTGGCCAATAACTCCGTACAGGAACAAGATACAGACGCGTGGATGGTCTCATTGTGTTCAGCTCGTCAAGACGCATCGAATGATATACATGATGACCTCGAGGTCACGTGACCTGAGGTCAACCTTTGACCTTGACCTTTCGAGGTCAACATATATATCATTCGATGCGGATTGACGAGAGGATCACGATGATGCCCTTAGTTTGTTCCTATCTCGACTAATTCGAAAGTTATTCGAGAAAAACTCTCTCCATTTCTAGTGCCGCCATTTTGACTTTTTCGACCCCTGTGACGTCATCTTTGACCTGACCTGAAAATGACCTTAGTAAAAATTGTAGATCTTGGCCGTGCGTATCCGATGCCGTTTACCGCTTGTCGCTATCTTGCTTCGTTCTCGAGATCTCAGGGGGGGGCCGAATCGCCCCCCCCCCCCCCGCCAGTTTCTTGTCCCGGCGGAGCCCGCCAGGAATAGGGTTAATTGAGTTTTCTTGAGAGGTTTTATAAATTGCCCGAGGTATCGTACTTTCATTATTTCGTTCAGTGTTATAACCTGACAACGAAGGTAAGGGATTGTAAGCTCCAAAATAAGTTAAATAAATGATTCAAGGCACCGTTAATCAATCATCGTATTTCAAAAGACACCGGACTGAGTGCATTGAAAGGTATCATGGAAAAAACCTGACGCAACTTAGCGGTACATAAATCAAGAAGCCATTAAAACCCAGCCCCACAGCCACCACACAAGCCCCCCCCCCCCTTCGACTCACGAATTTCACGACCACCGTCTCTCCGGGATAGAAGGCGCCGGCGGTCGGCTGCTGCGTGACGTCCCCGAAGTGGTGTCCCAGCGGGGCGGCGTCAAACAACACACCGGGAACGAAGCTCATCTGAACGTCCAGCAGGTTAGGGGGCTGGGCCTCGTCCACCACCGGGGTACCCTGGGGGGGGGGAGGGGGCTCTGTCAGCGATTGGGATCATAAATTAAAGTCGATAGGGTGTTAAGAGTGATGTTCAAATAAAAACAACGATAGGCGTTATCACAAGTGTATTCGCGGCCATTGGGGCGACGTAAGAAAAGAAGAAACCAACTGGCCCCAAGAACTTTAAATTATCAGTTAGCATGCACCTTTTCCTTGATGTGTAGAGAATTTACCATAATTTTTTTACAGAAAATTGCATTTAAAATCTTCCATTTATGCTTTTTTCATCTTTTGCACAATATGTTCTTTTACTAAGCTAGAAACACTAATTAGAAATAGTTCCCGCATCATCAAGAACAATAGGGAAGGCTTGAAGTGAATAAAATAATTTAAACGGTTTTGTAATCTATGTGAGGGCACTTCTAAAATTGCCTGTAGAAATATTGAAGGCAAAAATTCAACTTTTTCACAAGACGGATGTCTATAAACCTATTTAACTTGTGACAACTCAGCCGGTATTTCGTCGCCTATGAGCCCAGCTTTCCCTAGTGACCGATAGAGGCGCTGCTATCGATGTCCGCCCGTGCCGCCTAACGAACGGAATTAGCTGGGGATTCTGTTAGTGATAAGAGCTTCGTAAGTGTCCAGAGAAGAAAGGAAGATAGGATCGAATTGTCCAGCGAAGATTTAGGTAGAAATGGTAGAAGGCTAGAAGCTACTTGATTGTTCATTTCAGAACAGTAGTTGACGTTTTATGAACGAGCAGCTAAAGACGGGCTCATAAAAAACGGCAATGAGTGTCATTCATTCATAGTGCTAAGACGCATTAAGATATAATTTCGCATTGATCAATTTTACACCTACCTGAAAATTGCATGACCCTGACCCAAATTACCTTTGACCTGTGACCTCTTTTCCGAGACCATGTTTGGCCGGAATCGCGATTCGGCGCATGTCGGCTCGCATTAGCCGCGCGTTTGCAAGCTTTTCGTGGTTTCAAACGTTCAAACATGTGATATGATGTTGCTCCCATGCATTAGGGTGGGTGTCAAGGTCACCTGAAGGTCAGGTCAGGCCATTGACCTTTGGTGACCTCGGTTCACTTTTTCGAGTTTTACATGTTTCTAGGCTAGTTTTTGGAGCTGAATTCGAATTTAGCAACCATTTGAACATTTACGAAGTAGTTTTGGTGCCTTCGTAACCTGTTACGAAGCTGTCAGAGGCGGATGACAGGTACTACGAATACCCGTAACGACCCCTACCGGTTGACCTGACCTGACCTGACCCGACCTGGTCTAAACGCTTAACGACATCATCTGTGATCAAAACAAACACGATATTCGTGATCAGCACTCCGGAAAACCCCTTAGCAGCCACACTTTACGACTTTCTAACAAGTTCCGATATTCCCGATTTTTGGGTCATTGACCTGACCTGGAAGGTCAACCGATGACCTAGGACCTTAAAGTTAGGTATCATTGGCTTCCTCTCGTGACAGGCAGCACGATCGTTTTTACCGCGAAGCTCTTGCTCCATCAGGGGCCAAACGCGAGGGGGATCGTACCACTACCAACCCCCCTTGTGCCGTCGAAGGACTCAAAATGGCCTGTGCCGGCGAGGGTTTAACTGTTGTATGAGCAATGATGGTAAACGTCCCCCACCTGGATCATCGCGGTGGCGAGTTCCTGGAATTTCTGCAGATACGCCTGGTGGGTGTGGGGACCGTACACGGTGGAAGCGCCCTCGTAACGCTGCTTCTGTGGACGCAAAAACACCAAACATATATCAACGTTTTGAACCGTAACATAGCAGCTGGGCATTGTTTCTAAAAGAGAATGAGTGTCTTCTTTAGATATATAAAACACCACACACATGAGTGTGAAAAACGGGAGCCTACTGTTGCATCGTAGAATGCCTTTTCAAGATACGGGATCACGCCGTTAGCGACAAGACACTTCTTATTGTCATTTTAATACCTGACTTGAAACTATTCCAGTTTGGTTTCAATTCTGTATTAAATTTTGAAGTGTTTTGTCGAATTTACCTGACACTATTCGAATGTTATGATGTAGTAGTATTTTGTAGTAGGGCTCACCTGGTACTCCTACAGGTTGTGGTATAGTCGGAGTTACTCACCTGATACTCCTCGTAGGTAGTGATGTAGTCGGATTTACTCACCTGGTACTCCTCGTAGGTAGTGATGTAGTCGGATTTACTCACCTGGTACTCCTCGTAGGTAGTGATGTAGTCGGATTTACTCACCTGGTACTCCTACAGGTTGTGGTATAGTCGGATTTACTCACCTGGTACTCCTCGTAGGTAGTGATGTAGTCGGATTTACTCACCTGGTACTCCTACAGGTTGTGGTATAGTCGGATTTACTCACCTGGTACTCCTCGTAGGTAGTGATGTAGTCGGATTTACTCACCTGGTACTCCTACAGGTTGTGGTATAGTCGGATTTACTCACCTGGTACTCCTCGTAGGTAGTGATGTAGTCGGATTTACTCACCTGGTACTCCTCGTAGGTAGTGATGTAGTCGGATTTACTCACCTGGTACTCCTCGTAGGTAGTGATGTAGTCGGATTTACTCACCTGGTACTCCTCGTAGGTAGTGATGTAGTCGGATTTACTCACCTGGTACTCCTCGTAGGTAGTGATGTAGTCGGATTTACTCACCTGGTACTCCTCGTAGGTAGTGATGTAGTCGGATTTACTCACCTGGTACTCCTCGTAGGTAGTGATATAGTCGGATTTACTCACCTGGTACTCCTCGTAGGTAGTGATGTAGTCGGAGTAGGTGTTGGACAGACCCGAGATCACCACCTTCACCGTCTCACCGGCCTCAGCGTACCTAGCCGTCACCTGCCGGGAGAGGATGATAATTAGATGGTAACCGAATGTTGCTTACTATTAGAGAACACTTTCCGTCAAAGCATTCTTTAAAATCATGAACCTTCGTGAAATGGACAGGGAAAAAGGTCAGTTGAGGGATCCAATCAGCAGACGTACGGCGGAAGGGGAAAGTCCATTTCAGGGGTGGGGTGTATAAGCATGCAGACGGTAGATGAGAGGTCACCTGACAGGGTGGGTAAGAGGGGAATGACCAAGACGGTGAGGAGAGACATTACACCGTTATTGTGAAATAGCAAATTGATCTAATTTACATTTACAGCCTCTCTAAACACCCTAAACTCAATGTATCGCGGGTACCCAGTGATGCAAAATTAGCCGTCTCGTGAACCTACAGTAGCCAATTTAGTCATAATTATCGTCATCCAGATTAACTGTACCGAGTGACGACAATACCACCTTTTAGATCCTGTCGTAACCAGTAAATCATATTTACCGCCTCTTAGATCTTATGATACCCAGTGACGTCATATTTACCGCCTCTCTGATCCGCCGTCCGGCCATGGTGGTCAGTTCGCCGGGCATGCCGATAATGATGACGTCACCCAGTCGCAACAGCTGAACGGGCACGATTTGGGGCTGCCATGCGTACGGGTACTCGATCTGCCCGGAAAGAAAAATAATAAACAGTCGGGTCAATATCTATTATATGATGTATTTGATCGAAAACTGTAAGTTCAGCAGCGACGTGTAAGAAAAATATACAAATTTATAAGACATAAAATGTAAATACCAAATATGTAATGCACATAATTCTTTGACTTCATCTGTAAATGGATACATGGCCTGTTGGCGATCTGATAAATAAATAAATAAATAAATAAATAAATAAATAAATGAATCATAGCTATGAAACATGGACCTAATACGGAAGTCAAGTGCATTTGTGGAACGACCTTAACTTCACGCAATATTATCTCCAGACGTCGTTACCCTATACAGTATACAGAAGCGTGTGTAATGTGCATTATGCAATAAATGCATTGTGCATTGTGCATTGTGCACATGCAATGTGAAATGCGCAATGTGCACATAAATCTACAGCTAACATCTTCCGCAGCTTTTGAACAGACTGGTAGCCGGCTGCGAAATGGTTCCTGTCCAGGCGCTTGTCACACATTGCACGTTATTTGTGTCTGTAATTGAAGGTAATTGCTACCGGCCTCTTTGTGAAAACGGCAACACTTCCGATACAGACTGCTCAGATCGACGTAAGCCACTACAGGCATCGCACTATAGTCGACTACAGAATGATGTTCCACTCCTCAGAAGCTATCAGATGACCGGAGCGCTAAGTTGTGCCGTTTACCACGCAATTAAGCGTGTCGATTGTGAGCATTGGGACAAAGCTATAATTTGTAAACTCAGCCCGTGTGATGCGGCACAGCCTACCACTAGAGGCAAATAATTGCCTGTGAAAAGTGGAACATCATTCTGTAGTTGACTATACATACTACACTACACTATATACATTACGCCACACTACACTACAATACACTATAGAAGCCACGCGGGAAGAAAAACGAGAAGAAAAGCGGGAATCCACTACAGACTTTTTTCCAGCATTTCAAACATGACGCTTATATCTGAACAATGGACATTGGACAATCAGTCCGTGGAAAATGAGCAATTGTGCCACCCTCTTCCTCCTTCCCCAACAGAACACGGCAGTTTCCTTGTAAATGCATAGGTATATCGTCTCGAAAAGACCGAAGGCAAAAGCCTGAATCAGTGAAGAGTTCGCCTGCACCTGACATGCACTTGAAGTTAATAACTGATTACTGTTTTACCTAGCTAAATGTGGCCGCTCGGAAGCCTATGCAGAGTCGACCACAATTGCTTATGAGACGCCGGGGGAAAATGTAAGGACGGTATTCACTGAAGGTGATGAAAGCTTTTCAGCAAGGGTGAGTGACTGCGTTTAGTATTGATTAGATTCATGAGCCCTACTATACGTGCATATGCCCTCAGCACGTCGATGTGTCGCAATGTACCGGACACTATGAGAGACAAGCGCAAAAAAAAACAATTCCATACTTTTGCCATTTGGTTATCAAAAAGATACACACCAAAAGAAACTCGATGTCCGCAAATCCGTTTAATTTGCATGCGAACTACGCTTGTTCCGAATTGTTGGCTGAAACCTTGCGGTACAGCATACCTGCAGGCGTTACCACTAGCGCCATCTATGAAGTGAACTATCAACTTCAGCTTCATGGAAACTCATCTCGCCTTTATCTTGGCATCTGATCATAACCGGCTTGCCAAGAGCCAACAAACTATGAACTCTGTCCCTACATGAGCTACACTAATCTACATATATAAAAATAGAACACCGTTGGATTACACCTCAGAGAAGCACCCAGTCTCTCTTACAGTCTCTCTTCTCTCTCAGTCTCTGTTACCTCTCCGGTAGCCAGCAGAATCGGCTTGGGCTTGTGGCACGCCTCCAGTTCCGGAGAGGGCTTCTTGATCATGTCTCGGATCGTGTCCCAGAACTCGTTGCCTGTCAATGATGAGATATTTCAGTCAGTGATTTCAGTAGGAAATTGTCGAGCTTGGCCGAAATGCCCGAAACTACGACAAAAAAAAACAAAAAAGATGTCCTTAACCCGCGCACCGACGGGGGGCGGATATCCGCCCCCCCCCCCCCCCCCTGAGGGTTTTCGCGGAGAGCGGGAAAACCGCGGCGCGTAGCGCCGCGAAATTTGGTACGACTATTCTCTCATCAATTTTACACATGGTGTGCAAGTTTGAACCTCCTAACTTTTAAGGTCAGGTCACCAGGTCACTTTGAATGACCCAACCTCAAGTCACTTTTTTGCAACTTTGTCACCGTGCCAGAGCTACAATAGATGTCGGAGGCCTTTGAAAGTCGCAGGATGTTATTAGGTCATTAGTAGCTACAATTTGTTTATCTCGGAATTTTGATATCGGTGACCTAAGGTCAGGTCAATTTCGCGACCTCCCCATTATAAGTCAACGGGGGAAAAATCAACTCCTTGTTTTTACCACTAAAACGGGTCGGAATGGCCCCATATACCATACATGACTTCATATATGATCAACCTTCACTACCTTGAGGTCTGTTTTGCTGTTGGGCAGCTGTAAGGTCATGTGACGTCATCAAAGGTCACCAAAGGTGTTTTGCCAATAACTCCGTACAGGAACAAGATACAGCCGCGCGGATGGTCTCATTGCGTTCAGCTCGTCAAGACGCATCGAATGATATACATGATGACCTCGAGGTCACGTGACCTGAGGTCAACCTTTGACCTTGACCTTTCGAGGTCAACATATATATCATTCGATGCGGATTGACGAGAGGATCACGATGATGCCCTTAGTTTGTTCCTATCTTGACTAATTCGAAAGTTATTCGAGAAAGACTCTCTCCATATCTAGCGCCGCCATTTTGACTTTTTCGACCCCTGTGACGTCATTTTTGACCTGACCTGAAAATGACCTTGGTAAAAATTGTAGACCTTGTCCGTGCGTATCCGATGCAGTTTACCGCTTGTCGTTATCTTGCTTCGTTCTCGAGATCTCAGGGGGGGGGGGCGGTCATCCGCCCCCCCCCCCGTCGGTGCGAAGTTGGCGCAGACCCCCCTCGGTGCGCGTGTTAAAGGTAGACTGCCACCTTTTTTTCACAAAACGGTTTTCACTAGAGCTGAGCCACCTATGTCCCAGACTGAAGTCGGTTTTCCGAAATTCGAACCCGTTTGCGAGAAATCGGAGACCAAAGTTCAGTTTGATGCCATTTTTTTAGTCCAAGAAAACCGACATCTCTACTGTTTATCGATAACTTTGAAACATGAATTTTCTTATCTTTTGGCAAATATATGTCAAAACTTTGATTGTTTCGAGATCAGAGAAGAATTTTGGAGTGTCAAAATAAAAGTTAAACTTATATATTCAGTAGTTCATTTTTTTTCAAAAAAGTGTGGGAAATGGGGTTTAACATGGGCCAGACCCATTCCAAATAAAGCCATGATTTTTAAATGTTTTACGAAGTTAAATGCAAAATAAATTAAACATGGCCAATTTCTTATGAAATCATATATTAGTAAATCATAAAATACCTTACTTTTTCAAATAAAATGTAATAATCTTATGACCTTGAAGTCTAGTGATGTGTAAACATTGTCGCTAGACATTAACCGATTGATAATTGTATGATAATCGATAGTTTTTTCGCGATTCACGTGATGATACTTTGTCAGGTGAATTCTAAAATTTTGTTTTGTCCAGGGAATAAATCATAGGCCGATCTGAGAAAACTTTTTGAAGGTGGCAGTCTTCCTTTAAAAGACAGAGTGCCGCTATTCGAGTCAAATGTCATATTGCATTGGTATAGGTAAAAATGAACGATTGCTGTTAAAAAAGATGAAATGAATAATGGCACGAGAGCATATGAGGCTCATATGTTTTCGAGCATGAGCGAAGGCCCAGTATTCCTTTCAATGATGCTGTTTTTTCCGCTACCAGTACAGTTTGGTACGTGGCACAAAAGTACAGCTGATACGCTGGAAGCGTAACGCAAGCTTGTCAATGTGTGTGTACCTTGAAGCATCGGTATTCGATTTATCATTGGGAAATATCAACAAAACATTCTTTGACCTTGACAGAACGCCATCCCTAGTAGCACATCAATATTGTATCGATGTTGTATCAATATTGACAACAATGTTGTATCGATGTAATTCTGTTAGCCACTTTCGACATTGATACGATGTTGAATTTCGACATCGTATCAATATTGACAGGACAACATTGTACAACATTGTTTCGATGTTGATACAACATTGTCTCGATGTTGATTTTTGGTTGATTCAACATTGTCTCGATGCTGATTCTTGGTTGATTCAACATTGTCTCGATGTTGATGCAACATTGTCTCGATGTTGTTGTGGACAGACCTATACGTGTACGAAATCCCGTATCCCGTAATTACCTAAAGTATTCCAGCGTCACCGTCACAGTCAATATTCGGGGAAAAATGTATTTCTATGATAACTATATGCACAGCTCTTCACTTTTTTCGAGTCAGTTACACTTCACATATCACGTCACACAACCTCGGCCGCCGCTCAGTCTCCGCCATCTTCACATCTTGAGCGGTTGAGTCAGGGCCGTGGGGGTTGAGTCGCCTGTCGAGCCTCGCACTCCTGTAACAAAGCGGAGATTCCTATGTAACAACGGTAATAAATTGGGCCTTTGAGTAAATTCAGTTCAGTCATTTTCAGCTCAGATAATAGATATTTATGTAAGTGCATTTAGCATCACGCATGTACCAATACGTCCTACTACCATGAATCTATTCTTTTATACTTACCGGGCCCTGTTTCAAGTCATGACGCTACATGACGCTACCGGCAGCACTTTTTCTCTTTGCCGCAGGCAAGTGAGTGACGACGGTGAACGCCACCATTTTGAAGAGAACGTTTCAGCGCCAGTTTTTTTTTTAACTTATCACTGCAATAACTAGGATAAATGCACTGATTGTCACACAGCAGAAACTGGCGGAAACCTACATGGTCGGATCGAAAGAGGAGACGCCAGACGACACTGGACACAACACACTCAACACACCCGTCCGCACTCTGCGAGCCGGCACAACGGGACGGGGGACGCGCGATCCCCTGTCGCGGTCTCCCCTTCTTTAGCCGGAGGCGAGGATGGGACCGCCCGCTGCCGGCCGCGTACAGTATTCAAAACGGTCAGCGGTCGCTAGATTCCAGTCGGTACGGTCTCTGAAAGAGCACAGCGCACGACTGTTGGGAGGGGACCAAGGCAGGCACTAACTACCGTGATACTTGAATGGCACCGGTGGCACCCGAATAAAATATAATTCCGATACAATAATGCTGCTTAATTCAACGTAGGTTGAGGATGTTATAAAAGGATTTTATGAAGTGGAGCTATCTTTATTTAAGGATCGATTCACTTTATAACTCTCTATATATCATATTCAAGACGTATATGCCTATATAAGATACCAATAGGTACTATTTCTATACGACCATATTCGTCTATTTGGAACCTCAGTGATCCCACCCTTAAAGTCCGATTGACGCCTTAGGACCTGTCGAGCCAGCCCATGGGACCCCTTACACCCGAGGGGGCATTTGCCCCCTTTAATGCTGTCAAGTGTCAACACAACTGCGGGGCAATATAGTAATTAAATCACAATGTTGGAACTCTGCTTTTATCAATATTGTGAAATCAACATCGTGACAATGTTGTATCAATGTTGAATCAGAACGTTGAAATTCTACCTCTGTCGATATTGTGAACTCAACATTGGGACAATGTTGTATCGATGTTGAACTACAATGTTGAACTTCAACCAAGATTCGACAAAGCACAACCAAATATCAACGTGATATCAACGTTGAATCAATGTTGAATTCGTGTTGAAGCACCAATATTGACAATCAACCTGATTTCAACATATCTCAATGTTGTATCAATGTTGTGTGCTACTAGGGATAGCAAGCATGCTTCTAAAAAGCATATGCATCATGAATCGCATTCAGCTATTTTGCGAGGTTCTTATCACTTGGCAGCTTTACCTTTGAAGCACTGCGGTTGTGGCTTTCCTTTCCTCACATGATCCATAAGGCATGACTGATAGATTGTAATAGATAGTGCATTCATATACTTATAGAGCACTTGTGATCACAGTAGAGAAAACGTACGAAAGCTTTTTATGGGGGAGTGCCATGGTGGAAGCAAACTAAAAGAAAAAAAAACAGCCCGAGACATCTGAAAACATTGGTAAAACCGGTAAAACTCAGTTGAGCCAGCGGCAGAGAGCTCTGCCCTGCCACTCTGACCCGTCCGACTGACCTGTAGTATCGGACTGGGTGAAGTCGAAGGCTCCCGGTCCGTCCGTGGTGCCCGCAGCGAAACTGAAACCCATCGCTGCCTTACACGTCTTTACCTGAGAGCAGATAGACACAAATACGTCAATAAAATGCATCACGTTTTCGGTTGAAACCCAATCACCCGAAAACTTTTTAGATTATTTCGAGAGTTGTTATTTAAACTTTCTCGCCAAGGTCAACTGTTGAATGCATTTTCAGTTTTGTTTGTCACACGCATAAGATAAACTGAAATGAACTGAACTAAGCTTACGGGTGACATATTAGGAGAAATTTTGATTGGAAAGCAATCACTTTAGACCACCACTATACAATCGACTGCCAGCTTCTGAGTTATATATGTCCCCAATACATACACTAATGTGCAACCGGCCACAGACTGTGAACAGTTTATCACTGGTGCAAATCCTCTTACCTCGCCCCTCCAAAACAACATAGTAAGCAGAATCAATTCCCTGCCCCCCTCCCCCTCCCCCGCCCTTGTTAGGAGGTTTCGTCGCAGTGAGCTCGGTTTGTAAGTACAGGTCGGAGCGGGGTAGCGTGGGGACGCTCAGTTGCGTGGTACGCGCGGGGGAGCACGGATAGAGGGGAGAGTGTTGTGGAAGGAGGGAAAAGAGAGCGGGTAGAGAGAAGGAGCGTGCTGTGGAAGGAGGTTGAATAGAGTGGAAAGAGGAGAGAGCCCTCTCTGGAAGATTATTGGATAGAAAAGGAAGCGTTTTGTGTAAAGACAGTTATTACTTATTCCTTTGAAATGAAAGGCGCCAATCTTCCAAGACATTCTAAAGCAAGAGCGGGAAGAGCAGCTAGCTACCTAGTTCATCTGCTATTCTTCATCACTTTCATCCTAGCCGCACATCTAACAAGCTCTCTTGAAGCCCAAGACATGAACTCTCTCGCTGCCGTTCTGACTGAGCTGACAACTTCAGGCGAGTTTCCATCATCTCCTCTACACGTTCTACCGTGCGGTAATATTTCAGACACCGCCCTGACATCCCTCCTGCGAGAGACCTCCTGCCAAAAGGGCTGCTCGGTGTCCGAGCGATGTGATCCGTGTCAGCATCAACTCCTGGAGAGCCTCTACAAGCCACCAGGTGAGGCGCTGCTACTCTGGGCTGGGTCTTCAGAGTGTCTGCAAGTGCCAGAGAGTCTGGTCCCTCCTTACTGGGCTGGCTCTGCTGTAGTGCTAGTTCCTCCCGAGGGTCTCTCCTGTGTTGAAGCACTGTCTCAGGCGATCTTCACTAAGGCTCCGTTCCCACTGTGCTTAAAGAAAAGAGGAGATGTATATGAAGTTTGGCGTCGTATTACTTTCTCTACCGAAGGAATCGAGGTCCGGAGGATAGCACGATTCGAGGACGGACGGCTAGACGTCACCGCTGCAGGGTTGGCGGCGTCCCACAACCTCAACGGTGTAAATCTTCGTGTGGAGTTCATCAACTACTATCCCTACGTCTTCTGTCCGAACGTCCTCTCAAACAGGACCTGCGTCGACCCTCTTCTTCGACCGGAAACCAGCATCATCTCCGTCCTTGCCGATCATCTCAATTTCACCACCACGCTTCAGGAGCATCCTAAACGCGTTTGGGGAAGCCAGCTACAGAACGGAAGCTGGCATGGTCTTCTCTCGAGTGTGGTATACGATAAAGCGGACCTCGCCGTGGGAGGCATGTCTGTAACATACTCACGTGCAAACGTCGTCGACTTTTTACGAGAGTTCACGGTGGTGACGTCGGTTTTTGTCACGCACCGACCCTCACCACTCGCTGCTTATTTGACGGTGATCGCACCACTGTCTCCCCGCAGCTGGGCAGTGGTGATCACGGCAGTGGTGCTGGTTGGTGCAGTATCGGCTCTCCAGCGTGGATGTCGACTGGATCTCGCCATGATGGAGGCATACACGGTGATTGTCGAGCAGAGTTTATCACGGGATATCACGGCGCTGGCTGACCGACTTCTAACTGGAGTGTGGTTTCTCATGGCCTTTGTTATTGCCACCATGTACACCAGCAACCTGACTTCATTCCTCATCAACGGCGCTCCAGGAGTACCGATTGAAACGATGGATCAGCTGGCGGAGAGTAACCTCCAACTGGTCGCGTCTCAGAGCAACAAGATGTTCCTCGAGTGGCTGGATGAACGACAAGGATCCACTTTTGCGGCGCTGAGGCGAAAGCTGGTCACCGTTCCCAAACTCACGACTTCTTTCCAGCAGCATGCCAAGGATCACTCGCTCGCGCACGTCTTTGAGGATGCATACTTCGAGTACGCGCTGAGTAACACGGTGATTCACTCAAATGGTACTCTCTGGCCACGGGATATCGTAGTGAGTAAGGATACCTTCATGCCGTCGCCGCTGGCAATTCCTGTGCAGAAAAACGCCCCGTATCGACGGCACATGGATCACGTAATTCTTCGTTTAATCGACACGGGTCTCGTCAAAAAATGGCTAGCCGATGCACTCTTCAGTCTCAATCTGCGGGCGTTTCGAGCAAATGTGGCGGCGTGCCGAAGAAATCGCAAAGATTGTCGAAATGACGGTGAAGAAAGACAGTCGATCAACATGCAGCACCTGCAAGGACCGATGATAATCCTCGTGTTTGGACATCTTCTAGCGATTGCCGTGTTTATTTTGGAGCTTCAGCTAAAAGGATTTCAAAGGTTGGGAAGTAAGCTAAGGCAATGGGTTAAAAGAGTGCCGAGGACATTGCAAAAGTGCTTTCATGCACCAAGAAATGGAAAGAAAGTGTCTGAAAAGAATGCGGTTACTAAGGACAGTAAAATTGAATCCCGGTGAAACAATTCGGGGGATGTTGTTGTTAGGGAATTACGTGTATATTTGTATATCTCATAAAGCATACACTCATGCTAACTATATGCCTCAGCTACCTTGAGAAGTTGTATTGATGCTCTAAAAAAAATCCCTGTATGCATTGTATAGTTTACCTGAAGAATGTACGATTATTGGTTCGTACATCAAGTGATTTCACAATTTGTGCTACTAGTTACTACAATGCGTGCTTAACATTGCTGTTTCCAAGGTAGGTACTGAGCTATGCGTGAAAATAGTGCAGCTTGCTTGAGTATACATGACATGACATGACGTTTATTTGGGTAATGCCTTTGCAACGGCCCCCACAAACACAACAGTTTTACATGACACGACCAACCCGACCAACACGAACACGAACACATACTACAAAGTAGGTATCAAGTACCTATATGACATTTTCAGTGATGTTTTTCTCGGTTTGTTTCATGTTATTTCCATTTAGTTGGCTTTAATTGAAAATATTGTTTTCGTAATCTTTTTCTTTTCATTCTTTGTCATCATTTTCATAGTTTTAAATTTTCATAGTTGCACTGATTTGCTGACACTTCACTGCCTCATCCTTTTTCTTCTTGCTTCCCACATCTTGTAAACACTATGTTTATTTTTCTCCATTTGCTTTTCATCATTACTAAATAAAAGGTTTGCCAATATTTCTGTGCTATCTTCCACATGTGGTCGTTGCAACGGCTCAATTACAGATCTCACATCATTGAGCGCTTCGCATCTTAAGAAAAAATGTTCCAAATCTTCTGATTCTCGTCTGCAGAGATCGCATAGGCTGTTTGATTGGTTGATTGATTGGAATTGTCTGCTTTTTATTTGTAATGTGTTCGATCTTGCCCTGTACAGGCATACAGAGGCTGCTGTGTTATCATATACTTTTTCTTCCCTTATCTCAGTTTTACACTTTCGATATAATGAAATGCTTGTCTTTTGTTCTTTCTCGTCCTCCCACTTCTTTTTATCATATTTTTTTAGTTTATCCTTCAGTTCTTGTTTCGTCATTCCTTCAAGTCTTGCTATATTCAAGTCTGCTTCTTGTAGATATTTCGTTGTTATCTTTGCCCATCTTGTCACTTTTTCTTCAAGTTGCAGTCTGATGATTTCTTTCAGCAAGTTGTTGTTTCCTTGTAATGATTTCCGTATATATTGTAAGTGTCCCTCAATTATACTAGTCTCCATGAGGGATGATCCAACATCACCCCGTAATGTACATGTCGGAGCATATAGAGGAGCCCCTAGAATCTGTCTATAGACTGAATTTTCAATTTTTTGCAACTTTTGTACATCATTTTTGGGTGTTGTTGTTACCTTTGCTGCATACAAAATGGATGGTAGCGCAACCGACTTCCAAAAAGTTTTTCCTATTAGCAGCTTGTTGCAGCTCTTCTTTATTACGCTAAATGTCATGTTTGCAAGTCTTTGTGCCTTGTAAATGGCGTTTTTTCTTTGTTCTTTGAAAATATCTCTTTCGTTGCAAATTTTCACACCTAGGTACTTCATTTCTTTTTCTATCTTTATGCCTTGAATATTGTTTTCCATTGGTTCTTCTCGCATGTTGTATATTAGTATTCTTGATTTGTCCTTGTTTAATTTCAGCCCATATTTGCTACTTGTTGTTATCAACTTTTTTATCAGTTCTTCCATTTCATTTTTTGATTGTGTCAATACTAGCCCATCATCTGCGAAGAACAGCAATGGGAGGTATATCTTCCTGTTCCGAAAACCCAGTTTGGTTTCCAAAAGTTCTTGTATGATTATATATGTGACAATTTTGAAAAGAACGGTGGAACCAGTACACCCCTGCCTAATGCCACTTGTGACTGGTATCCGCTGTTCGGTTTGGCTATTTAGTCGTATGTATGTTACATCATCTTTGTATACATTTGCCACACTGTTTATCACATCTGGATGTATCTTGTAGTTTTTCATGGCTTCGATTAGTGCCATTCTTTTCACCGAGTCAAATGCCTTTGAGAATATATATTCCCGACCGGGGCTGGGAAAATGCGTTTTATTCACCGAGGTTTTTGTGCGGAGGACCGAGTGCCGGTAGGCACGAGGTCCGTAGCCAAAAACCGAGGTGAATAAAACTGCATTTTCACAGCCCAAGGTTGGGAAGAGATTTACCACATGCCGTACCGGCGCAACAGTTAATATCATATTCATTTGATATCATATCATATATTATATTCTTAAAATTGTGTTAATATTATATTAATACTATGTTCATATTAATTGTCACCGTGATTATTTTTTGTTTTTGATTTTTGGGCTGCGTTTAGTATGAAAGATGAAATTCCCTACTTCCCCCTTATTTAGGGTTTGAAAAAGCTGAGGATGAAGATAGTGAAGAGCCAGAAGTTAGAATAAGGATATGGAGTCCAGAAGGATTGAGAAAACCGTGAGGAAAACTGAAAATTGGGTGAAACTCTGAATCAAACACGTCTTGGATCCCAGCTGGAACAATATCAAATGGTTCATTGCGGCACGTTAAGATGCTTCGCGCATTTATATAAGTTGTTCGTTTTTTTTTGCGTGCATTGTGTAGTAATAATGACTATTCTGACCATGTTCTGCAGCAATAAATACATTAGCATTGAAACGATAACCCTGTTTAGTTGAATTACGTTGACAGCAAAAGTAAGTAAACACGCAGCCACTGTTGCTGTTGCTGTTAGTGAACACACAATCGGTAAATATCTTCTTTGGATTTGGTTCTTCCGCTCAGAATATACAGTAAAATTTTGTCTGGGAAAATCAAAAAGCCCTAGGGCCGAATCGTTTCCCAAATACCTTCAACATTAGCCGAGGCGGGCCGAAGTCATTTCCCAAATGCACGTGCTAATGTTAAAGGGATATCTCGGCATGTGGTAAATCTATTGATGTTACATACAGTGGCTTTTTCTTTTTAAAGCTGTCTTCTATGCAGTAGTTCAAAAGAAAAATATTGTCTTCTATCTTTCCACCTTTAGTAAAACCAGCTTGATTTTCTAGGACCTGTCCATTTTCTTTCAAGTGTTCTTCAATGTTTTCCTTAATTATGCTCATGAACAACTTATATGAACAGTTGGTAAGAGCTAGTGGCCTTAGTTCTTTAGCACTTGGTTTCGTGTTTTTTGGGATCATCCTAGTGTTTGATATTCTCCAACTGTCTGGCTTTTCTTTCGCATTCAGCTCATTTTTTAGGCAGTTTGTTATTGTATCGAGACCTCTTTGTGTTTTCACCAGAGCCTTATATAGTTCTGCTTTTAATCCATCAGATCCAGCTGCCTTTTTAGGTTTCATTTTTAAAATCTGAGTCTTAACTTCCTCTCCTGTCACATCTGGTTTTTCCATTGGACTTATTTCTTGCTCAATGACTCTTTCCATGTCCAATTGTTCTCTTAAGTGTATTGGATAGCTGGTGTTTTCTTCAGCAAGTTGTTTTTTATATTCCTCTTGCTTTTGTATGTCCCATACCATGCTTATTTCATTATCATGTTGCTGTAGGTATGTACATGTAGGTATGCGTAGAAGATACATGTAGGTATGCGTAGAAGAGCACATCGCCACATCAAGACCAGCTTGTATAGAAGGCCACATATAACATGATCTAAGTACCAAGGTTGTCAATGTTAGCTATTACGAAACGCATTGTAGAAACATCTGTGATGCCGGTAAATATCAGATTAGCAATACAGACTCTGTATTTCCTTTGCGTGAACGCGGAAGGTATCGCATAGATAACATACAATGAGTGTGTTGGGATAGGTGACGTTTAATGAAGATCATATCTTAGGTAGTTGTTTTCTCACGTATGTGATATGTCATGAATTTAGTGTGCGATAATTGACACTAAAATATGGGATTTTTATCAAATTATTACAGCAATATTAGACGAAACAAAAGAAAGGGACATTTTAGATTTTCTCCTGCTCTAGCTTCGTAAATCAGTAAAAAAAAAATCACGTCCTAATTACCGTAATGTGAACATACTAATACTAATCCAAACAATCGACAGACCCCTTATTTGAGGACTCGGTAGCCCAACTTGTTTGAGGGCTGTCCTAAATTTCCCCAAACGCTAGCTCATTTATTTTACCAGTATACCGTGCAATCGTTTAGGCTGCGTGTCTAAACTGCGTTTAGCATACAATGCCTTTTCACACAAACACACTTAATGATCACGCGCAAAGTTCACTATTCAAATTGGACTGAGCAAATGTGAAATCGATGGGCTTTTGTGAGCAAAACATGGTTGGCGTCGTTTGATGAGAACCCCACGGGAAAATTACGTGTTGGTGCACATCATTGAGCCAGGATGAGCTTTTCATGCTCGTAGCAATTGAAAACGGAAGATTGACGGGCGCGTGATGCGTTTTTTTCGTTCACTAATTTTTCTTTTTCGCGTTTTTCAGACTTTCAGTCCGGCGATGCTATAGCACTGTTCCTTTGCGTAGGCTTAAAGTCGATATATTTTTCATAACAAGACGTCAAAAAAGACGAATCGTTCTGCCATTTCTGTTTAAATCCTGATTAATAATGTTAGTTTCTGCAAGGTGTTACCATTATTCATAACTCGAACACGATTGTAGACGTTTTACTTCTCATGCCTGTCTGCTTGTCAGCGCCAACTGAGCGCCCACTTAATGCATTGCCGTCGTGCTCGTGATACTCCCCACGAGAAATGACCTAAACAAAACAACCCACGGTACCACACCAGTGCATCGCACCTACCCACACCCTCATAAGTCATAACTCATAAACACAGTTACAGTCATAAAGATGGACAAATAGAATGGACAATAGACACAGCCACACCTCCCCATGTCTCTCTAGACCCCTCCTCCATGTCACCTGCCGTTACGTCACGTGTGAATAAGTCATATTCGGTGCACCGTCTTATTGTAATGCCGAATGCTTTGTCGGCTGGGTAATTACCGGCGCGAAAAGGCTGACTGGCCAGCGATAAATGTCATGGATGTGAACAATGACCCGAGTACATGAAGGGAGGGTGACTGTGCGTTGGAACGGAAGGAATGGACGAACAGCGTGAGCATTTAGCATATTGACTGGCAGAATGGGCAGGCGATATGCATATTTTTTTATTACGGTTACACAGTTTTCTAAGCTGCACATTGTTTCACAAGACTGACAGGCATCGTCACACGATCTACTTTTTTTCGCTGATTGAATCATTTCAACGAACAAATACTCTTCCAGAGGACATATTTCTATATGAATCATCTCATCTGTGCAAAGCTGCCGTCCGGTACGTTAACGATGGCACCCGGTGTCGTTTTTTATGACCTTATAGACCCACTTCAGGTCCTCTGTCGCCTAGTTATTTCCATTTTTAACTTCACCGTCCAGACTCACCTTTGCCCGTCCGTTACGTTTTATTACGTCACCACCTATGTCCAGCTGCCTTCCTGTATATTTGTGACGTCACTGGCCTGCCCGTCTCACCTAAGCCCAGCTGTAGTTGGTTTTAACCCTCGCCCGTAAACGGCGATCTGCCACCTTCGCCCATGCAGGGGGGGGGGGTTGGTGCGACCCCCCTTGGCGTTTGAAAACGGAGCGTCGTAGAGCTTAGCGGAAAAAACCAACGGATTGCTCTCGCCGAGATCTCGCGATTGGTGGTATATTTTTTGGTCCTAGGTCAACATTTGACCTACTTTTGACCGGTCAAAGGTCAAATTTTCGGAAAAATAGACTTTTTTCAACTTTCGGCGGCGATTGCGGCAAAACGGTGGGAGATATCGACTTGAAACCTTCACTATCGTGTTCCTTGATCAATTCTCTATCGTTTGGTATGTATTTCGTTTCCCTAGCTCTAAAAATGGCGCGTTGGGAGCGCCGGAAGTCGGCAAGGTCACAGTCGGCGGCAGAAATTCGAAAAATCAAAATTTAAATTTTTGAAATCTGATTGTATTTTTGGATTTGGGAGGTCCATTTGCTCCCTGTAGAAGCTAATATTGCTGCATATTCCCATTGAGGTGACAAGAATTAGCAAAATAGTGGTTCGGGCGCTTTTCAAAAATAGTACCGGACGCTGTTCCCCTTGTGACGTCATAGCTCCGTGACCTGACCTGACCCGGTCAAGTTTCTTATACCATATGATAGCCAATACTTGTCCCAACATGCATGGGAAGTTTCATCACGATCCATCAACCGATGTCCGTACCACCGGCAGGAAACCTCGGGCGTTGGCACTCAGTTTGTGAAAATCCGGCCGGAGGCTGTTCCCTTTGTGACGTCATAACTCCGTGACCTGACATGACCCGGTCAAATTTTTTTATCAAAAGATGCGCAAGGTTTGCCCCATAAGGTACCCAAAATTTGGCGGCGCTGCGCGCCGCCGTTTTTGCACTATTTCCGAAAAGCCTCAGGGGGGGGGGGGTTGCACCAACCCCCCCCTACATGGGCGAGGGTTAATAACGTCTTTTCTCAGCCCAGCTGTAGTAGTTGGTTTTTATGACGTCTTACCTCGGCCCAGCTGTAGTAGGTTTTCATGACGTCTTACCTCGGCTCAGCTGTAGTAGGTTTTCATGACGTTTTACCTCCGCCCAGCTGTAGTTGGTTTTTATGCCGTCTTACCTCAGCCCAGCTGCCGTCGGGCTGTTGGATCACCACTGTCTGGTTGGACATGTCGATGTACTGGTGAACACTGGCGGATCCAGGGGGGGGCATTAGGGGCATATGCCCCCCCCGACAGGAGCCTGGGGAGGGCATTCAGTACAAGTATGCCCCCCCCGTTCAGACTTACACTTCTTACGCCTATAACGAGGAACTAAATAAAAATGGATTAGAAATCCTTCCTAGTAACTACTTTTGTGATCAGAGTCGTTTTAGTAGCCTCAATTTAGTTGTCATTGCTTTATTTTGTAAGTATGTTGCTTCTTAGTTCTTACCACAGGGGAGTCATGCCGCTTCAACACTTTTGACCGTATTGTCTAACGATGGCACTCATATTGCGCAAACCAGGTATCGGCCGCCGCCTATGCTTGAGAATAGGGACGGTTAGAATATGATTTACCTTTATCAGTATGGCCGCAGCCAGTGCAGCGTAACCGGGGGGGGGGGGGGCACAAGGGGCGCGTGCCGCCTCATTAGATGCATGGTGCCCTATGGGCCCGAGAGGCCCTGCAGTGCCAATTGGCCGCTCAGGGTCCAAGCATGCCTTATTTCGACTGAGATAAGACCCGCAGGACTCGTGAGAGCACCTCACGGAGTCACGGCCTCCTGAGTCGCCACACATCACACATCTCCATAAGGGCCCCACTCCGGCTTCTGAGGGCCCTGTGCTGACCTCTGAGTGACCTTGCTGACCCATTAAGCGTCAGCTCAGCTTTAATTAGGGTCCTGACCCATACCCGCATGGAACGGCTCCACACCAGTGCCTCTGAGGGCCCATAACGGCGCCTGTGAGGGTCTCACACTGGCGCCTTTGAGGGCCCAACACCGCCAATCTGAGGGACTAACACCAATATTTCTTAAGGCCCTACATCGGCGGCCGCTCTGAGGGCCCCACACTGGCGCCTCTGAAGGTCTTACACAGGCGCATCTGACGGCTACCTACCTGCAACTCTGTGGGCCCCACACTGGTGACTCTGAGGGCTCCCACGCCTGAGAGTACCACGCCGGTCTCCTGGATCCCACAGGGCTCCTGAAGGCCTCTGCTGGCCCTTGCTGGTCTCTTGAAGACCCCTTGCCCCCATGCATGTGTCTCTGAGGAGTGAGGACTCCCACAACGATGCCTTTGAAAGTCTTCACCGGCGACTGAGAGGGCACCACACAGACACGTCTGAGGGCCCTACACCGCCACCTCTGACACACCAGTGTCTCCTGAGGTCCCACATAGGCGACTCTGAGGGTCCCACACTGGCGCCTCTGGGGCCCCACACCAATGCCTCTGGCAGTCAGCCACCGGTAACACCGGTGACTCTGAGGGCCCCACCGGCGTCTGAGAGTACCATGCCGATCTCTAAGGACTCCACAGGGCTCCTGAAGATACTGCCGGCCCTCACTTGCCGGCCTGTGAAGGCCCATTGTTGGCATCATACGGCCCGTTACCGGCCTCTGAGGGCCCTTTGTCGGTCTCTGAGAGGTCCTACTGGGTTATTAAGCATTCGCATTTCGCACCAACCACTCCAAGGGCCCCACACACAGCCATCTGTGAATGGTGTGGGCTTAGCGCCACACCAGTGTCTGAGGCACCACAACGGCGTCCATGTGAGGGCCTCACACCAGCACCTTAGAGGGCCCACACCGGCTCCTTTGTGGTTCCTGCACCAGTGCCTCTGAGGGCCCCACACCACTGCCTCTGGGGAACCCACACCGATACCTTTGATGGTCCCACGCCAGTACCTCTTAAGGTTCCACACCGGCGACCCTGGGTCGGCTCTTTACCTACACCAGTCATTCTGAGGGCCCCACCGGCCCCACCAATTTTCGTCGATTTCTGGCGCTGCCCGGGTGTTTGTCCCAAAAGCCTCCTCCTCCTGGATCTGCCAATGGGGGTCAGGTGTCCTACCATTTCTGTTTTTTTTTTTTAGAAAAAAAAAACTCGTGTCAGGGCTATGACGAAAAATAAGTGGCCTAAATCCGATGAGAAAACAGGATTTGGGGGTACCCTAGGTTTGGCTCCGTGACCTGGTATGCCCCCCCCGCGCTGACACCCTGGATCCGCCAGTGCTGGTGAATAAAGTCCACCGGTCCAGACACCGGCCGGCCCGCGTCCTCAAAGAACAGGCTCTGAAACACGACAACGGCACGTTCATCGGAACGTAAAATAAAATCATTGAGATCGGAAAAAATGAAGGAATTCAATACATCCTGGGGAAGAAAGAAAATTCTTATTTGTGATATTTCAGTCGGATGTCAACAGTGGCTATGCCACTGATCATGTTAGAATCAAATATTTCCAAGCGTCTGTTCATAAAATGCGTACCAAACCTTGTCTCATGTAGGTACATGTGATGTCATGAAAAAATGGCATGTTCAATGTTCATTGTTCAATGTTCATGCTCGACAGCCCAATTGTATAACAGCATAACAGCCATTACAGACAGCACAACGTCAAAACTGTGACACCAAGTTCCCAAGCCCCTGCATGCGAAGCTATTTACATCGGACCTGACAATTAGTGGTCACGTATCTTTTGGTCCCACGGACATAGCCATGCTGACAAGGCGGAGACGGTAAAAAGACATTCGTGACGCCATTGTGCAATTTCATTCATGTTTCCATTCACACTCGTGGCAATGGATGTATTCCCGTTTGGCACGGGCCCTAGTTCCAATCCAACATGCATTTACCCATCGGTAATCGTTAAATAGTGAATATGTGAGCACGAGCATAACATCGTACATAAGCTCGTCCACGTGTTCCCTTTTGACATTAAAATGAATTCGTCATACGATTGGTGTCCGAACATTTTGTGAGAGTTGGTAAGAGGTAAGAGGAAAAACATGTTTCATAAATGTTATTCAATATTTTTAAAAGCTATAACGTCCATTTCGCATGAAGCTGAGGGCCACAGTTTTCAATCGTTATCAAATACCCATATCACAGCAAAACCCTCTACGGCCCTAATATCGGCATGCATCCTTGATGCGACCTACCACATCGGATCATTTACATACTGATGATTATAGCATATAGCTTGTTTGCTTTCCTTTTCACATTCGTTATTGTCACGTTCTTATCCACGAATTCACGTGAAGGTTCAAATGTCGAACTCCTCCTAAGATAACACCTCGTCCAGGAAGTATTTCAGGAGGCGCGTGTTGGCTGGTTATTAGCTCTTGCTTTATTTCCTTTGCACAGTGATCGCAATGTTCATAAGAACGAAACAATCTACCGAGAACGATTTGTGTGCGAGCCTTAATCTAATATTCACGAAACGTTAAAGGCAACACAGAGCAGCGTTTTAGCTAATGAACTTCATCGCATTAAAATACGGCAAACATTGTGTTTTTATCACCAGTCTTGAATAAGATTAGCCAACATACCTAATGGCTGACGAATTAGGGCTTTCTCGGAAATTGTATTTAACGCAAAGGTAGATTACGTAACGCGTTAGCGTTTTACAATATCTGTTGGATCACATACTATAGTCTGGCAAACCTAAGAAAGAATGGATTTAAAGTGCACCGGCCATTGATGCATGTGCATTTATACCGTGAGAGCATATTTTCTCTCACAACTTTTCACACAAATTTCTCCGAAGGATACATTTCAAGTGATCAAAACACGTGCAAAGTGATTCAGGCGCTTTAACTCCGTTCTTTCTTAGGTTTGCCTGCCAGACTATAGTATATAAGCCACAATCGCCACGCTGCATGTGTAAGGCTTCTGATGTCAATACCTACATACACACATACATATACATACATTGGTCAGTAATGTTATTGTTCAATGTTCATTACAAGTCAACGAAAACGTGCCGCCTTTAGAAAACAGAACAACCACCGTTGCCATGACAACCCAAACAACCCCGGTTCTCTCTTTTCCTTACCTGCGCTTTGGCGAACTGCTTGTGACCGATGATCTGAGTGCTCTCGACCATGTCCCGGCCGGGGCCCGAGGCGATACACGTCTCCACACGGCCGTCACAGGTACTCGTGTCCACGTCACAGTCCAAACCTGTGGGAGGAGAGAGGGAGTCACAGTCCAGACCTGTGGGGAGGAGGGCGTCACAGGCCTGGGTGTCACAGGTACTCGTGTCCACGTCACAGTCCAAACCTGTGGGGAGAGAGGGGAGCGTCGCAGGTACCTATCCGTGTCCACGTCACAGTCCAAACCTGTGGGGAGGGAGAGGGAGTCACAGTCCAGACCTGTGGGGAGGAGGGCGTCACAGGCCTGGGTGTCACAGGTACACGTCACAGTCCAAACCTGTGGGAGGAGAGAGGGAGTCACAGACCTGACAGAGGGGGGCGTCACAGGTACTCGTGTCCACATCACAGTCCAGACCTGTGGGAGGGATAGCGTCACAGACCACACCTGTGAAATCGGGTAACATTTTAGACCTGTCAGGAGGTGGAGGGGACACAGTCCGGTCTGAACGGAAAGGGAAGAATCGACGGAAGCTGGGGCGGTCAGAAAGGAGTATTTAATTATTCATTGAAGACAGACAAACCATTCTACGGGCCGAAGTGTATTGGCTGAACATTTTTGTTCAGCTACGAAGTTTTTTATCAGCAGCCCGGTGCCTGGTGATTACCAGATGTCTTAGTTGACCCGTCTAAAATCAATGCGATGTCTGTCGCCTGTCGGGCTACTCCAATGTAACTAGCGCCGTGAACACCAACCTTTTAGCTAATTACATACATGAGTCACACTTAGAACGGCGTCATACCGTAAACGACGTGCCACGCGGACGCCTACATTGTCAGTTATCACTGTCTTATGGCTATCACTGCCCAAAGCGTAGTGTTTTATCACTTTACTGCTGAAGTGCTCAATGGGTTCGTGAATAAAGAACATCGTCCGTTAAAAAAGGCATCGTTTGTGAACACAGTCCGTGAACACAAACATTGCATGGGCATTGTCGTGAACGTGAACACGGTCCCGCGTCCATGAACACAAATAGTGTCCATGAACACGAAAAGGTCCGTAAACACAAAAAAGGTCCGTCTCCGTGTCCGCAATCAGTTCACAGTCCATAAACACAAAGAGTGTCCGGGAAGACAACGACAGTCGATGAACACAAACAACGTCCATGAACACAAACACTACTTGTGAAATTGCATGTCAAAACAAGCAGCCTCAAAGGCCATGAGTCGATTGCTCCCTCTCAGTTTTACCTGTGTCGATACACTTGGGTCCGCGAGTGTTGGGGGACACGTCTCCCAGGTTGGTGGAGGCGAACGCAGCCACAAACGGGCCGGAGCCGGGCAGCGAGCCGCCGTTCAGCAGAGACTCGAACATCTGCGAACCGGCAGAAGCATTAACATAAAACATAAGCATGAACACGGATTATAGCAATGGTTATCAGTGACTTGAACGTCTGTAAAAACGGGAGAGTCGCAGTACCTACCATTAGCATCATGGCATCATGGTATTAGCATCATGCTCGTATAATTTCAGACAGGGTAACAATAATAATTAGCGGCGACTCAAACATCTACAGAAAAAGTACATGCAGCGTAAATATTGCACATACATACTTTACCCTTCCGACTCCGAAAAGGTATCAGTAAATCGAAAGGGCCTAACCCTAGAAAACAAGCAGACAAACAAACAAACGTCACAGCCGAGCTGAATTGAAATACGTACCTGTTCGGCGTATCCCTTGTTGTCGCCGGAGATGTACTGGTTGGTGTTGTTCATGCTGGTGCCGTGCACAGCGAACCAGTTCACCATTCCTGCGGCAGAAAATAATCGAAACATTGTTCAAAGTGGTTCAATTTAATACCTGTTGACGAATATCGAGAACGACAGTACTGCAGAGCTGTGCCAGTTGCAGCATTGGTGAACGGTGGATAATTGAAAGGTGCAATTTCAAGAGTTACTGTCAGAAAATGGAGTTGCCGTCGTACTTTGCTTTGGAGAAGCACTGCCATAAAAATATGTGTTGCAATAACAATTATCGAATGATGTAGCTATAGGGATCTGACGATGGTGAAAATATCAAAATGCCACCGTTGACGTTGAATGGCATCATTCCGAACAGAAGTCGTCCGTCCTTTACGATTAGGGTATAAGCAAAATGCGACACAAGATCCAGGGAACCATATAGCACACAGAGCATCGATGCCATTCAAACAGCACCAATGGAACGATCATAAAATACCTTTCGGTGAGGTATCTTCGTTGAAGAACTTGAGCATAACCATCTCCTTGTCGGTGTCATATTGGTACCTGAAATAGGGGAGAGTGGGGTAATTTGGCCGGTGGTGTAAATTGGCCGCCCCCACCTGTACGATGTCTTATAAAAGTGAGTGAAATAACTCTAGTCTCTATTCATTTGTCATGGGTAGAAATAACTGGAGGACAAATGTCAAAACTTTGCCCCTCGTAATTTTATTCAAAATTAATAAAACGTTAATTTCATTAGAAAATGGTAACTTTTACTTCTGTTTACAAAGTTGTATAACATATAGTATTTGGGCTAAAAACGAATTCAGACATTATAGCGCCATTCTTGGGAGTGTTCAGCGGTTCCAAGAGCAATTTTATCTAATTCCGTAAAGCCGTGATGACTTTATAGACATAAATTTTCAGAATGGCAATATGGGGTAATTTGGCCGGGACTAGCGGGGCAACTTGGCCGGTGCGCTCATGGTCACTATGCTGGGACGGCCGAGTTTTCATGGTCAATTGTACCATAAATGACATGATTCATGACCAACTTTGACTACTTTGATGCCTTACTTCCGATTGGTCAACTGTAAGAGCATGTGACGTCATCAAAGGTTACCAAACGTTTTTTTGCTAATAAATCCTTACATAAAAATGGTACAGCCGCACAAATGGTCTCATTCTGTTCAGCTCGCCAAGGCGCATCGAATGATATGCATGATGACCTTGAAATCACGTGACCTTGAGGTTAAGCGACCTGATGCAACGTGACCTGAGGTCAACTTTTGACCTTGACTTCTCAAGGTCAACACATATATCTTTCGATGCGGACTGACGAGAGAATTACGATGGTACTCAAAGTTTTGGCCTAGCTTGATTACTTCAAAAGTTATTCGTAAAAAAACTGTGATCGCATCTAGAGCCGCTAATTTGGCTATTTTGACCCCTGTGACCCCTGAGCCAATCTCCAAAATGCGGCAAATGCGTCATAGGACACACGTCATTGCTGAATCTGAAGCTGACTCGCAATATAACAGAAAATCCCGACCGCAAACTAACACCGGCCAAATTGCCCCACACCCCCGGCCAAATAACCCTGCTAGTGGGGCAATTTGGCCGCCTTGCAGACCTTTGTAATACGTCACAATTTCAATATAAGTAATTACTCTATCATTTCAAGCTCACTGTCCAGTAAAGTAAAATGAATGCGACACCTGCCAGCGTTGAGAAAATGCAGAAATGTGTCGTCAATTTTAAGTTATATCGTTTTCTAAAAAAAGCGGCCAAATTACCCCACTCTCCCCTAGTCCGACATTGGTTAACAAACTGAAAAAGCTTGTAACTCAATGCTGGAAATAAGTTAACAGGTTCTTTGTATTCGTTGGTTTAGAAGGAATCTGACTTACTGATAATTACCGCAATACGGCATATACATTACACGTGAACCAGTAAATGAGCATTGCCATCCGGGAGCTTGTGTTGAATCTCTCTCCTCCTCCTCTCCCTCTAACTCTCCTTCTCTCTCTCCCTCCCTTCCCTCCCTTCCTCCCTCCCTCCCTCCCTCTCTCTCTCTCCGTCCCTCCCTCCCCCTCTCTCTCTCTCTCCCTCTCTCTTTCTATCTCTCTCCCTTCCTCCCTCTCTCTCTCCCTCCATGCCCACCTCCCTCCCTCTCTCTCTCCGTCCCTCCCTCCCCCCCTCTCTCTCTCCCTCTCTCTTTCTATCTCTCTCTCCCTCCCTCTCTCTCTCTCTCCCTCTCTACCTCTCTCTCTCTCTCTCCCTCTCTCTCTCTCTCTCCCTCTCTCTCTCTCTCTCTCTCTCTCTCTCTCTCTCTCTCTCTCTCTCTCTCACCTGTCTCTCTCCTGCTGCGGGTTCCTCAGATAGGCGGTCGGTGACCGATTGATGTTGGCGTCAAGGAGCTCTCCGCTGCTCCAGCTCATGTAGCCCACGGAGAGGTCGGCATGTGCGCGGCGGATACTCTGGGAGGTACAGAGAACAGGTCAGGGTCAAGGTGGGGGTCAAGGCCACGGTCGGGGATTCGGGCTGGGGTCAAGGTCAGGGTGCAGGGTCGGGGTCACGGTCTATAGCGTAGTTCAAAAGTACATATAGCGATGATTTACGGCGTAAATCATCGACGATACCACACTGCGACGTTGTGGCAGTGCTTTTCACGCGTCTGGACAAGCTGTCAGGCATCACTTGTTTGTTAGAGCTTGATTACACCCAAAAACAAATCTCCGGCACTTGCACATTGCACACCGCTTCCTCTTGAGTCCTCTTGACATGGTTCCCGCATCCACATACGCACTCGCCGTCGCCTCTCAGCTTTTTTCCGTGTACACTAACTTAACAGTTAACACTTCAGAGAAGATATAAAAAACTTCCGAACCTATGCGACTGCCAAACAGCGCTGGGACGCGCGCTGATTAAAGCTGTCATCCACCTGTCTCAGTAGCCGTCTCCCTCTCTCACAATGCCTGCCTCACGGCCGTTCAAAATTCCCTCCTCGGCCACCTTTTCCCCCTCCCCTCTCACTCACCTGTACAATTCCGGCCACATGCGCGTCAAACGACTCCTGCACCCAGCCGAGGTTGCTGATCTGGAAGAGGACGTACTCGAGGAAGCCGGCCGGTCCGCTGTGGGTGTGTGTGGCCGACAGCAGGATGTTGTTGGTGTTGTAGAGACCGCCGAACTCGGCGGATAGCTGACGGGCCACCTGGGGGAGGGAAGGGGGGGGGGTGGTTACGTTTACTTCATGCAGGTTATATGGATGGTGATATGCATTGCATTCCATTCCTCAATCCTCACTAGAGACTATCGTATTGTATTGCATTGCATTGCATTGTATTGTATTGTACTGTATTGTATTGTATTGTATATTTAAGAGCGATCCACATGCCTGGCGTGTGGCGATTACTGTTCGTCTCGAATATAAATAAGAATTTGCTAATGAGGCAAATCTTAGCTCCGTCTTCCCCACTGCGTCATCTGCAATCATACCGCCCAAACTAAAGCTTCTTTATCTCGCCGCTAGAGCGCAGGCCGGTCGTCTCAGCCTCCTGCCAATACTAGGCCGCTGTGTGGAGCCGGCCGGGGGCGGCGTTAGAGAAATCGACTGGCGGCGGGGGCCGGCCACAGCCGGAGGGACCAGGAGGTGCCGAGCGGTCCAATATACGGCCGGCCGGCAGTCGCGACGCGTGTGGGGAGAGTGCAGGGTGGACGGGCTGAGATACTACAGAGCTACGGAGGGTGCAAGCGGAGAGAAGATAGGAGGACTTCACTGAGGGAGGTCTTCTGCTGAGAAAGGTAAGTACGTCACTAATTCCCCGACACTCTTTCATTCTAAATGAAACGGTCAAAGAACTTGGTCATCGTTTGCTTGACGGGTAAAGATATAACCGGCTCATTTCGATAAAGGGTATGTCATGCATTCAAAGGCCACCATACGGGTCTAGGCGAATGAATTTGTCTCAATAACGGACAAACTCCCGAGATACATCTTATTCACCCGTATAGGGTATGGACTTTTGAGTGCAGGTGCTTCATGCACATAAATGACAAATGAATGCTGTATAAAATCGACATCCTACACATCGCTGTGAATTTAATGTTCGTATCCATGCACATAGGCAATGCATTTTGCATAGCTTTCAAAGGTTTCACGGCAGTCACCCAACCCTATCTTACCGACAAAGTAAGCAGTTGCAACGGCCATGGGATGCCGATAAAGGCATGCAAAGTGCATGTCTGGCTCGAAGAACAACACTGATAGCAGGCCGGTGCAGGGTACGGTACACAGCAGGTCAAGGGTATGGGACGGATAAGCTCATGTGGCTATAGAGTGCCTGATGCAATCGATCTGGATAATCGAGTTGAAGTTTGGCCGTCTCATCTAAGGGTTGACATGTTGTA